CCTGATCCAACGCTCAAACACTGGTGGGTGACAGTAGGAGGAGAGAACACTAGAAAAGGTCCAAAAATAATGTGATGATGTTTTTTTTTATCTTGCTCTTGTGTGTGAGTGTTGGAGCCAAAATTGCCTCTAAATACTTACGTCAGAGTTTGCTGCTTTGACGTGCCTTTTTACCATCAAATGCCTTTTTATTCCTCCAGAAGCTTCCTGTTCAGTGATGTCTGGTGTTTTTGCACTTTTGTTCATTTTCTCTTCTCTTTTTGGGAAATCAATCCATATATTTTTTCATCCTCACCACCATGCTGGTTTGTGATTGGGTCCGGTGTGTTTATGTGGCGTCATGCGCCACCGACGTGTCCTCTGGTGTCCCGATTGCAGTGGGCAGCGCTCTGGCATCTCTGGGTTTGGGCTCGGCCCCCCCAGGCCTTCCAGTCCCCGGCAGGTTGCACAGGAGCATTTCCTGGGCAGGTACCTTCCACCACATGTGTGCCCCCCGCTGTCGCCCCCTCCAGAAAACTCCAGTGTAGTTTATTTCTTCTCCCTTGCATCGTTTTGTGGTCTGCCAACATAAACTAGAAATTAAAATGGATAACATCTAATCATTTTCCTTTACTGGAATTTCTAAAAGTTAACAAACTCTCTATTAACTGTGAAAGATCCTAAGACTTGTTTTCCTGATTAAAATGTTTCAAAGGAATAGCGTTTACGTTTTGGAAATATGTAAGATGGAAAGCCTTCCCATGTCTCGGTCGTTCAATGTGAAAGCTGAGCTGGTTCTGTCCAGCACCTCTAAATCTCACTAATTAACACGTTTTACTTTACTAGTGCAGTGGGGCTGGTTGTTTGGATCCCCGTATTGCTTCTTGCAGCGTTGAGCCGCTCATTGACACCCTGGAAGTAGCAAACCGACATTCCTTGCTCGATAGTTAACCTAAAAAAACACTGCAGTGTTAAAACGGCATGTTGTGGCTGCACAGGGGTTATCTAGCCATCTCCACTGATAGCAAATTGGTATTTCCCACATTGTCAATCTATTACCTGAGAGATAAAGTGTAGGAGTATCTTTATCCATGTGTCACCTCTCTCCTGCGCACCTTTCACAAATGACTGTTGTTCGAAAGCGCGCTGCTCTATAACAAAAATTGTGCAAGTGAAGGAATTATGCACGTTTGCTTTACCCCTCGTTCTTCTATTAACCTTTTTATAAACCTCAACAAGAGGAGCGGAGAGTTTGCCTGCGTTTGGATCAAACCGCCCAATATCACTTAAAAATTGATCATAATTTGTTTTGTCACTCAATGATTCATTTTCACTCTTAATCATTTTCTCTAACTTGTCTTATGAAATATAGTCCCAGGTAGACCTCTTAACCTTTGACCCTTTGATGTTGTCAACAGGGGAGCCCAGAACTCATCCAACTAATATGCTTTTCCTCCCTTCCTTTTTGAGTGTAGGGAAAGTGTTTGTTGAGCGATACAGGACTCTGTCCGTGCTGCTGTTGCAGCAGCTGCAGGCCAACCAAACAGATGCATGTGTTCTGATGGGAAAATGAAGTAAATGATTGCGTGCCTGCTGCATAGATCCGTCTGTGCTGTTCATGATCTTCATCTGTCTGTTCATTTGTGTGTTTGTCTGGCTGCCTTTGACTTTAATCTGTTTGGATACATTTGATTGTGTGTCATGTTACCGTATTTAATATAACTTATTTTGTACTTCAATCAAATTTTTGATTCAATGTGTGCGCTGTCAAAATGACTGATTAGCGATGTTTGTGGAGGTCTTACACATGTGAATGCTTTTCTATCTCTCTCATTGTGCAACTAATTATAGACAATGTTGTCTTTTAAGTTGCATCACTTCTACTGAGTGTGTATCCACCTATAACCCCCAGTGGTTGTTGCTGTGTCCTGCTGTAGACTCTGTGGTGGTGCTGCAGGAGGGGTCAGAGGTCGCCACACCACACACGCCTGATTGGCTAGAAAGTGAGGAGTTTGAGCCGATTCCCTCTGATCCCATATTCATGTCTGCGGAAAAGTTCCCAAAGACCCCGCCGCCCGGGACGTTAAGCAGGGTGGGTAGTAGGTTCATTATTTTTCATTCTGCACACAAGTTATCAAAATGCCACGTGTGCTACTACACGGTGGCAATACAGACAAATTAATATCAATTCATATATTTAATGGAAGCTATATGAGAAGTTGAAATATCGGGTTTCCTCATCAGCTGATAAGAGTCATTGTCTCCTACACTCTGCAAAAGAAGACCTGTGCTCCAGCATAATAAGGGCAACGCCAGCATTTTGACATTGTTGTTTTTGCATATTGGTCTTTCCTTTTTCTGTTTTTAAAACAAACTCATGTTCTTTCTCCTCCAGTCCTCCTCAACCTCCAGTCAAGACGATGAAAAGTCAACGCTGGAGGAAGTAAGTGAGGGAGCGATTCCAATTGATCAGCCCATTCTGGGACCCTCCACCCCAGGAAGCCAAGAGCCCGAACTTCCCTTCCAGACCCACACTCAGTGCCAGGGTCACGGACTTAATAAGTCCAGCTCCTCCCCAGAGCTCCAGACCTTACCCGAAGCATTCGCCCGGGCTGCTCTGGAGTCAGAGACTGTGCCAGGAGAGGCATCGTGGCCCAGAGCTACTTCAGATGGGAAGCCACAGACCCAGCAGCCTCCCATTGAGAAGGAGAAGGTGGAGGGAAACGCAGAAGGTGACAATGAACCAGGAGGTCAAAGTCAAGGAAGTGAAGGCCCAGTTGTTGTGTCATCTCAAAGTGGAGGAGCAAGGATGAAATTGGAGTTTCCAGCAGCGGCACAACCCGGACCCATCTCCCCGAGCGGAGGCCATCGCCCCCGGGGTCATACCATCTCAGGGTCAGCTCCCTCCTCCAGGAGGGACAGGAGGACTGAAAGGGACTCGTACCACGTTCGACCTGGACCCAGCAACACCGAGAAGATCTCTGGACTAAGCCCCAGGTAATCCAAGACCAGAGATTATTCCTTTTGTTTGTTTTTCAAACATCAAAATATATATTAAATTACACACACACACAATCGGTACAATGTGAGGAGGTTGTAATGAAACGTAATATAAACCTAAATTATAATGCAAAATTCCGAGCATAGTATCAGTCATAGTCAGTTGTTAGTTTAGGATGTCATATTAATGTAAAAACTCCCATTGTAGGCTATGCATACTATTAGTATACTAGTCTGAAAAAGGTCATCCAGTCTGCTTTGAAATTCCCAAAAAATTGCTTATTGCTCATAAAAACGTGTTTTCTTTTACCTCCTCACAGCTTTGTGTTTCTCCAGCTGTACCACTCACCTTTCTTTGGAAACGAAGCAAACAAGCCTCTGCTGCTGCCCAAAACTCAGGTATGCTGACTGCTGCTGCTGACATGAAATCTGCTGCAGTGTTGTTTAAAGTGTCCTTTACGGTCCTTATTCTCTGTGTAAGGTGATAGACCGCGCTGTGAAGGTCCTGGACCAGATGCCTCCTTATGACACCCATAAGATCGGCGTGGTCTTTGTGGGAGTTGGTCAGGTGAGAACACAACATTGATTTAGTGTCTCACTTGAGATTAAACCATCTGACTTCATCCTATTTGCTCTCTTCAGGTCAGCAATGAGGTCGCCATCCTGTCGAACGAGTACGGCTCGAACCGCTACGCCGCCTTCCTAACCGGCCTGGGCAAACTAATCCACCTGAAAGACTGTGACCCCGACCAGATCTTCCTCGGAGGGCTCGACCAGTATGGAGACGACGGGGAGTTCACATACTGCTGGCATGATGACATCATGCAAGGTGTGTGTCGGAGGCAAAGGAAAAAAGAGCACTTTTTGGATCTGTTGTTTTTTTATTTGTTGTCAATGAAACGCCGTCTCTGCAGCTATCTTCCACATAGCAACGCTGATGCCGAACAAGGAGAGCGACAAAGGCTGCTGCAACAAGAAGCGTCACATTGGCAACGATTTTGTCATGGTGGTGTACAATGACTCCGGAGAGGAGTACAAACTAGGCACCATCAAGGTACATGAACACACGCATACACATACACACATTTCTGAAATCTGTGAGTTCTTCAATTGTTGTTTCCCTTCCCTCCCATTAGGGCCAGTTTAACTTTGTTGAAGTCATAATAAAGCCACTGGATTATGACTGCAACCTGGTCACTCTTCAGGGCCGCAAAGGTGAGCCGATCCTGCCGTTTGCTCCGGCCTTTTTTCCTCACAACTCTTTTATATTCTGTTTTTCATTACATTCCTCATATTTATTTCTCTTTCAGACTTGGAAGGACTAATTGACACAACAGTGTCAAAAATAGTTTCGGACCGCAACCTTCCCCTCTTAGTCAGACAGATGGCTTTGCATGCAAATGTAAGTCCTCCCCGTATCTATTCCTCTTGTTCCTACACACACACACACACACACACACACACACACAAACCCACTTCTTTGTCTTCCCGCAGATGGCCTCTTTGGTCCACCAGTACCGAGCCAACCCCTCTGACGCCTATGCTTCCAAGTGGCTGGCGAGGTTGAGGCACATTAAGAGGATTAGAACACGGGTAAGAAAGCCCACAAACATTGAGGAGGTTGTTCTTTTGCTGTTCTTTCTCATTAAAATATGAATCCATCTTACTGCCTCAGGCCCAGGAGGACATCCAGTCTCGCTCGACACCCGGCATTTCCCTGACCCAAGGACACACTCAGCAGAACAAGACGTTTCAGCAGAGCAATTCCCAAACTCAAGAGGCCCAAGGGCAGAGGAAAAGACTGGTTTCAACCGTGGACGATTTTACCGATTTCGTTTAGATTAATTTATTGTCCTGGCAAACACAAAACATCTGCCTTAAGAGCTGAGGACAATATGTGGATTTTGAGAGAAGGGCGTGTTTGTGAAATAAAAAACAAAAAAAAAACATGACTGCTTCATATAACACAAACCTGTAGTTAAGGGGTGGGGGGCATAACTAAACATGTGATCTCATGATGCTGAGCTGTCAAACGTTTTATTCAACTTTGTCAAGTGCAAAAGCAGGAGAAGTGCTACAACTGCAAAATACAGATATGAGAACATACAACACAAAGCAAAATGCACAGAACAAAACAGGCAGATCTTTGCATATCTTGTTACACACAGCAAGAAAACACGGGTCAGGGGAGGCGTAGAGCGCTCTGCTTCCTGTAGTTGGTAGTCGGCCTGTTGCGTATACAAAGATTTATATTAAATGCATTGATAGCTTTGGCTGTAGTGAAGAAGTGTAGTTTTTTTGGGCTTTGCAACACCAGTGCTTGACCTAATGCATATGCCACTGCAGCACATAAACAACGGCGATCCTGAAAAGCAAAAATATATACACCACGAAGCACCAATATATACAGAAATGTACAAACACCGATTAAGGAGGGCCGGAACTGTGAGAGCAAAATACATTTTGGGTGCTTACATTGTGCTGTTTAACTGTGGGGTTTGATTAGAAGTGACCCGCTAGTCCGTACCCCCCCCTTCTAGCACTGACTTGGCTAAGAGAAAAGGGAAATTAAGTCTAAAAACATACGGGCATGATTTCACAATCAAAGGTATCATTTCTTTAGATCATTGAAAACACCTATTTTTCCCCCAGTTTTGGTTTTCCTGGTTTTCGGTCCAGGTTAGGGGGGTTCCCTGAGATCTGCCCACTGGACATGGTACGCATGTTTTTCAAAATAAGACATAAAAGACAAAAGTACACCGACAACTGCTAGCTGTAGTTTCAACAGCTCAATAACACTCACTAGTACGTTTCTTTAATGTGTTAAGATGTGAAGAATAAAAACTTTACACAGTTAAATATGGCATTGAAAGTAAAGTGCTAAGTACAAAATGAATTACTTCGGTATAGTAAAACTCTGAATGTATACATGACTCATACGCTTTGGCAACGTTTATCAGTATGAGTGAAGCTTTCTCTATTGGTTTGAATATCAAATTATTACTTAACCCATCAAAAACAAAACCTACATGCGGACAAAGTGCTTTTACGTCGCAACATTTAGAAAAGCTCTTCAGACTAGAATTCAACGTAACGGTGGGGGAACTTGTGTAACAGCTCAGTACTGTAAGTGAAGGCAACTCCTTCACGCTTTCTCAACTTTAAGGTCCGCTGAGCCTCGTCTAATAACCGCTTCTTGCTCCCACCGCTCCAACTTCCTGTCACCGCTCTTTGCTGCCCGGTATCTTTTCATTTTCTCTACTCCTGCAGCATGGTTATAACTGCACCCTGAAAAACTGGCCGCTGGGATCCCAACAACCTTGTGTGTGTGTGTGTGTGTGTGTGTGTTTGCCTGATTGCCGTGCACCTCTGCAGTGCGCGGCACGTGACACTTAGCGGTTCTGTGCGTACAGTGTTATTTCCATGCATGTGCGTACATCTGTGTGCCTGCATGCAAATTGTGATTCATAAAAGGAAAACTATCTTCAAACAGGCCACAATTACCCATAGTGATCAATATATACAACACAAATATGTATACGGACAACATAACTGAGAAATCACAAAATGGCTGATTGCATTGGCTGCTTTCAGTTGGTTAAATCCTCAAGTCAGCACGCTCATGTGCTCCTGTCAGCGACCCCACGTGACCTCCAGGGCCAGCTGGGATCAGTTTGAGTCCGGTGAAAAATAAGCAAGTGGGGTGTTTCTTGGTTTCAATGTTGACCTTTACATGGCTGACTAAACCAGCTCAGTTAGCGCCCGGTGACCCGCACCTGCTTTCTGACAATGACCTGAACTGGGATTTGGACCGATCACTGATTTATAAATCTGCAACATCTTATTTTACTGCTCTCCTCTTCCCTACGTCCTGTTCGTTCCCAGCCACTATTTTCTCTCTGACTCTACCCGGGTTTAGGGAGGGAGCACATGGGGGACAAAGCCTGTTGCCCCCTGTCCTCCTCTTATCCAAAACCCAACATTTACTCTTCTGGTTGTCCCTCTACTCCGAGTCCTCAGGATTTGGGGTGTCCAGGGCCATGCCTGTCTAGGTTGGGGTGCACCTTGTTTTTGAGAGGTGGAGGTTTGCGTTTTCGCTTGCGTGTAGGAATGGTGGTAGTGTGAGCTGGGTGGTTGAACAGGCTCGAGGAGGGGAGGGTGTCTCTCTCTGTTGGGGGGTCCCGGCCACTGGGTGCACGGGCGGGTGGCGAGGGAGGCGTGGGTGCAGGGGTACATCGAGGTGCGGAGGGTGTTTTGGACGGCGCGACATGGGAAGGGGCAGCGCTTGCCGATGAGACGGGGAGGGGGGAGGCATCGGAGGCGGATGTATCCGTGACGGGTGGAGGCGGAGGTGCACTTACTGAAGCTTTGGTTGGAGGGTGGAGAGCGGGCGTACGTGTGGTGGCAGAGACTGGTCTTCCCTTTAGAGGAGGAACAGGTGTGTCTGCTGGAGTCTTTTTGGGGTTTCCACAGTCCTTTTTCCCCTTTCTGCTCCCTTTGTGTTTTTCCTTGCCGTCCTTTCGTTCTCTCCATCCAACAAGGTCCTTGATCGCCCCTGTTCCTCTCTGTCCCGCCTCACTCCTGCCTCCCTTACCAGCACCGCCTCCTCGCTCCCTCGGCTTCCTTTGCCTCTGGCTCTGCTCCATTCTACGCTCAATGTGGTACAGATCCTCCGTTGCCATCGTGACGCGGTCGAGCTGTTGCAGCAGGGCTTCCAGCGTGGGGAGGAGCCTCCTCAGGGAGGCTTCGGTCTCTGTTCTCTCCCTCCAGCTGGTACTTCCCGTCACCACTCCCGGGCCGAGACCCAGACCCAGGCCCAGCCCGAGTCCCAGGCCGATCCCCGGGGCCTCGGTCAGGCTGCAGGGGCTGGAGGAGGAAGGACGCCACGAGGCCTCAGAACCCGCATCCACGCTGTCCGGGGTGGGAGACGAGTCGGGACCGTCCAGCGGTGGCAAGCACAGGGACTTGCAGTCGCTGGTGGAGGACGAGCGGGACGGTGGCAGCTCCATGCCCTCGAAACGCACCTTATGACGAAACTAAGAAGAGGAAAAGGATGTGAGGACTGATGAATATATTTGTAACGAGTACCAAGAGCCACGCTCACTGATGGATTGTCTACAATCACATCATCTTTTCATATTTTGTGCCTGTAAAATCTCTGTGAAAAGAGGTCAGACTGACGCCTGTAGAAACGTACCTCCTTGGCCCTGCTGAGTCCCATCCACATTTTGAGCCGTCTGAGAAATAGCTCAACCATCTCGTAGTCTTGGAGATCCACAGCTGGACGGTAGAGCTCCGCTCGAGCGCGCCGGTAGTTCCTCAGTAACACACAGATGACGAACCATAGCAGCAGCAGCCGAAGAACGGCGAAGCTCGCGTGGAAAACCAGCGCAAAGGCGGGACTGGAGGGACCGGCAACTGTCCAGCTGGGACGCCACGTCATTAGGCCACGCCCACCTGCGCCCAACAGAGACCGACAGGCGGCGCTCACACTGCCGTAGCCGTCATACACCGAGTGCAGGAGCTGGAGCAGAGGAGACGGACGAAGGAAAGTTTAAACCCGTGTGGAAACACATGTATCTGGACAGTTCTACCCCTTTTTATGTGAAGCGTTATATATTTTAGAGAGGCAATAGTGTGTATTATCATCGTCCAAAAAAGTGTAGCCAGCTAGTAGTAGTAGTCTGACCAGGTGTCCCGTGTGCGAGTACGCCAGCACCAGCAGGAGTAAAGCCAGTGCGACTCCCAGCAGCTCCCAGGCTGAGCAGCGCAGAGCTCTGCCAAACACGGCCCACTCCCTGAGGAACCGCAGCTGGTGGGACGCCTGGATGTCCGGACACACAGAGAGAGAGAGGTTGAGGGGCAGCGGTATGTTTTTTTAATATGCAAACACTCGGCCCTCGGTTTAAATAGCCCTGCTTTCCTCGGCCTTGCTCTCGTTACCTTGAGCACCAGTACGAAGAGCAGCAGGGCGGACGCGGCGGTGTACATCTGACTCTGTCTGGCCACGGGGTAGAAGTCCGTGAAGGCGTCCCGAGGGTGCCTCAGGTACGACGCCCACTGCTGCGTGGCCGCGGCGCAGCGGCTCAGGTGCAGCCCGCACACAGACGCCGCCAAAACCAGTTTGCAGATGCCCAAGAGTCTCCAGGTTGAGAGCAAGTACGCGTAACCTTCTCTAAGGAAGCCCAAGATCCCCCGCAGGAGGAAATACAGCACCAAGCCGACGAGGATGATCTGGAAAAACGAGAGAAGTCAAACTGGAGAACAAAGCCAGGGACAGGAAAAGGATTCAGGTGTAGCTGGAAGAAGGTATTGTCTTTTTGGCCGAGGGGTTGCCAGTGGTTACCATGAGAAGCAGCTGCAAGTCAAGGCCTGTGATTGGCCACAGGGTGATGACCAGGAGGTCCAGGCTGGACTGGGCACGCTCAGAAACTGGAAACTCAACCAGGAAGGAGAAAACCGCGAGGAGGTTTGTGTTGATGTTGTAGAGCGAAAACTCCACAAACACGGCCCGGGTCCTACAAAAACACACACGCATGCAAAACGTGAGCAGACTTAATGGACTACGACACGACCAAGAGACGAGATAGTTCACACTTCCTCTTTTGTCACCAATTATCTTATTTTATATTTAATTTATCATATATTTCCATCACAGAAAGCTTTTACTTAACATGAAAAGATAAATTACATGAAGCAATTGTTCAAAATACACAGTTTATTTGGATTTAAAAAAAAATCCACTATTTATTGACATTGAGTTGTTCAGTTGCAACCGAATACAAAAAATGTAATTTAGGTTTTGTTTGTATTCTTCTCAGAACAACCGTTGGAAGTCAGCCCACATTCCTGGCTCGGAAAATGATTTTATGTTTTCATATGCAACTTTATAATGACCGCAGGCTAAGAAAAATTGCCCTTCAGGGATAACCTCCGCACCATAAAGCCACGATTATGCAGGGTTCTGTTTTTTTGGCTCCTGAGCAATCCGGCAAGTAAAATCATTGCGCCAACTACTGGCACCCAAGTAAAACTTCGTTAACTATCTGTTATAATGTGCCTTTGAATTCAAATGTAGGTGTTTTTATTTTAGTTACACTCCTGTTTCCAGGTTGACTACCTGTAGTCGAGCCAGTGCAGCTCCTGCAGCTGCTGTAAGGAGGAGGAGGCCTCATCCAGGCTTCTGTTCAGCTGCTGGATCACATCTCCACTATGACACAGCCTCACCGGAGCTCTAGAAATACACCAGAGATACATATCGGAAAAAAGGACAGATTACAATTGATCAGACCCAAAAGTTAATTTAAAAGCAGCCTCGTTAAAGTCATGATTTGATTCCTCCTCTTACCCGTTTGTAGAGTTCCTTCCGAAAGCAGCGTCATTCTCAACGTCTTTGGTCAGAGGGTACCGACGCTTTCCCAAAATACTGTCCCCTGCACTCAGACAGCCTTCAAATACAATTGCAATAATTTGATCAGTTCTTATAATTATACTTTTGAACTTGAAAAAGAACAAGTTTAGTAAACAGATTATGAAACGACAATAAGGAAACCTGCCGGAGTCCCTATGAAGCCAAACCTAAAAATGTATGTGGGATTGTTTTTACCTCACATTCTCATGACTTGTTGTGCCTTTTCTCATTTTTTATTACATTTTTATAGTTTGACATAACAAACAATTACTTTTTATAATAGAATATACTGCCCCCCCCCCCAAAAAAAATAAGTAAAATACGATACTACAAGTAATGACTTGTGACTCTTTAAGACACACTGTATTACGACTTGAATCCAAACAAGTTCACAACATAAATAAAGACTTTTCATCTCACCCTGCGTGTCACGGATTTGACGGAGCCGCAGCGTGCCGAGCAACACGCTTCCTGTGTTTCTCAAGAGGGCGGAGTCATCCAGTAACTGCGGCAACAGTGACTCATTCAGCCACATCAGCGCATCCGCTCGGCTGGGAGAAAAGAATCAAGGGTTTTATTAATTGTCAAATGCAACGTCGCAGAGTGGTTACAATGCTGGATAAACATGCGCTTGATTAACATTCACGTGCACACAATGGGTTGATTTCAGTCTACCGGTTTGAATGTGTTGTTAATACAAACTTGAACAGAAAGGGCAGACATGTAATCTTGGTAGATATGGTCTAATAGTAAAAGGAAAACACCGGAAAAGAAGAGAGAAAAGACGGTCTCCTTTGAGCCTACACAAAACCTTCCTCAGATGAAAACACAAAACAACGTAAAGCAAAGTCAGTTAAAATGTGCGATAGTTTTGGAAACCCTGCTACTTGCTAAGAGACATTCTGGATCTGCAGTTAAATGCGGCAGCAAATTCACCCAACGAAAGGTCAGGGTGTGCGTTCGTACAGGACCGGTCAAAGGTCCCTCCAATCCTTTGACTGGTCCCGTGCATGTGTGAGGGTGTGTACCTGCTGACGTTGTGGTACACAGGTGTGTGCAGTGCTCGTTGCAGCTGAGTGCGCAGTCTCAGGCTGTGTGTATCTTTGGCCGAATCCGAGTAGTTGAGCAGCAAAACCACCAACAGGAAGAACATGTAAACCAGGAAGTTCTGAAAACGAGATGAAAAGACGTTTTGGACAAATATAAAAGAAAAAGCGCAACAACACAGCGAAGATAGATCTTCCCCTCTTCATCAACACGCCGCTCTCTCTCCGACTCACCTTCAGCATGGTGTGCAGCATGGTGACCTTGCGGGCCTGGTGCCGGGCCTGAGACAGAGCAAAGCCCTGCGGTGGACTGACCCTGGCCACCCGTTGGACCACCCTCTCCAGCCGGGGGAACTCCACCAGCACGTCCTGGTCTTCTGGCCGCAGACGCAGCACACACACTGCGTAGTAAACCGCCTCACACAGTACCTGTGGGACACAACACGGCTGTTAGTTGGGTTCACGTAGTAAAATACGAATCGTTAATGTAACCAGAGCCAGAATTTTGTCTTTTGGGTGTTTGCAGCATAGGCGTGAAATGACTTGCAGCAGTTATTTAAAGTACTCCTGAGGGAAATACGTGGTACTTTGATGATTGGTGCCCTGGTAAACAAGTTTCTAAGAGCTCAAAGATTAGAGTTGGGGTTTGCGTAGAGTAAAACTACATTGGGAATATGAATGTCTGTGTGAGGAAGGCCATAAATCTGTATTTCTTTGTGTGTCCACCTTAGCAGGCTCCAACAGCAGGCAGGAACACAGGAAACTGGCAAAACAGGAGACGAGCCACATCATGGCCACGCTCTGACTGAACCCGTGACCTGCCCAGATCGAAACTCCATTCGCCACAGCGATGGCCGCCCAGCTGCCCCACAGGGCGGCACGTCCGCACCAGGGAGGAAACCTTCGGGGGCGACAGACGTCGGTCACAACTGGAGAGGGAAAGGATCAGTGAGCAAATGAAGGTCCGAGAGGTGAAACTAGATACAATGATCAGGCAATAACATGTAAAGAAAGACAACTGCAAATGCTTTCTTACAAACTTTTTGGTACTTTTACAAACACAAAAGGACCACAAAGTTACTTACTAATCAATCAAGTTCCCCTAAGTGGAATGAATTATGTCACATCATGGGTTTTGGACAAATAAGTTTTTTTCATTTATGTTTTCTGACGGAAAATTACTTTTTTTCTGCCAACTCAACAGTCATGCAACACAATGAAAGAGTATAGACAAAAAAAAGCCCAACTTTAATGACTTGGACTCATTGCACTGCGCTCATTACCACATAAAGGTAAAGCAGTCTTAATCTTTCCTTTTCAAAAGTAATGATCAAATATTGTACATTTGCCTAATAGAAGTTATAGGTTTTATTGTTAAAGAAATGTTGTGGTTTATATGTCATGTCCAAAGAGCAAAGGCCGAAGAGCTGCAGCAGAACAGTGCAGACAATCGCTCACAAGTTTGTGGAACTTGTGAGATGCATGTAATGGTAAAATATGTTGTAACATTTGCCTTGTGCTAAACCCGTGTCTCAAGTGTCTGTATTTCCCCCTGACGTGCAAAAGCAGAAAGATTTAAGGTTTCCATGTGCAGCTGTGTCTGAAGAAGGTTAACTCGCTCTCACAGACGCTCGAACAAAGGAACAATGTGCGCTACCCTCATCTTCACCTGGGTTCTTATCTCAACCTGCTTTGCAGCTTCTCGTAACTGGCATTGAGCATGGCCTTCACATTTGTATAAAGACTTTTTACTGCTCGGGGACGCCATTTACACCGAGCGCTGAAATACGTGCTTGTGTGTTCGACCTCCTGCTTATAAGCAATAGTTAGAGCCAGATATCTGCGGAGAATTGCTCATGTAATCTTTTTCTCTTCTAAATAAATGTTAACTTTTGACTAATTAATCAACGTGCTGCGATTCTTCTCATCAACCAACTCGGGGGGGATCGGGGATCCCGACCTCCTGCAACAATGACCTCGTTGTACTTTTACTACTTACACGTATCACAAACAATGTGGTACCATATTACCCGTATCATATGTCTTCACTGAACCAGCTCATCCACCAGCAACAGGAATAAGAAATAAACAACCAGGCAGATTATAAGTAATCTGTGTGTCTGATTGCCTGTGTGAATAATCCTGGAATCACTTTTCATACTAAAATGGTTCTTTAGTATAAATCTTCAGGACTAATAAATATGGACCCTGAGTGCTGGAGGAAGTTTCCACAATCACCCTCTCACCCGTGTTTGAGATGAAAGCCTTTTTTGGTGGATCTCTTCTCACGGTATCCAGAGGAAGAGGCTCATTCAGCTGCTGGCGGAGAATCACTTCAGTCTTATCTCCTAGGATGCTCAACCTGGCGCGCACAAAATAATGCAAATAATAATACAATGAATCAAAATCAAGCAAATACACCAATATCTTAAAGTAAATCGGGCTGATTTGCAGTATTTCATAAAGGTAAAAAAGATCAGAGATCAAACTTACAAGTCAGCCATTTCACTTTCATCCGTCTGAGGAAAGAAGTTCTGTCCATCTGCCAGGATGTGTTTGATCAGATCCTCGTCTGCGAGCGGAAAGCATCAGCTTGTATTTCAGTGAACTTTGACACGGCCCGAGTGATACGACCAAACGCTTCCGTGTACTCAACAAAACAAAAGGGAAAAACTGGTTTAAAAACCCTCCAGCTTCAGTTACCTGAGGAGGTGAAATATTTGTCGCGTTGGTCGGTCCCCTCGACGTCGTCGGGGTTAAAGGTCATGTCGACACCCAGGTGCCTGCTCCCCTGACCCCTCTTCAGCCTGGGCAGCCCCGCTCCATGCCCCGCCCCTCCCACCACTGACACGTCACTCAAGAGCTCCGGCCAATCGCCGTCCTCCATCTCGTCCTCCGCCATGCCCCAACTCTCCCCACTGAAACAAACCGCCAGAGGTGTTGTTTAAGCAGCTTAGAGCGAAAGTTTCTTCTCTGTCCTTTTTAAACCCAACAAACCCAGCAAGGCTTCGCAAAGGAGAATAATACATTTCACAAGATGAAGTATTGGGGGGGTCCTAAGAAAACTCACTAGAGAACTAATTTTGCTAATTTAACCCCCAAGAAAGTTCACTATAATTTGTTCTTATTCTTGTCAGTCTCTTCTAGTTGATAATACCAGATTACATGAACCCTTCCCCTTTTCTTTATCATTCTTTATTCTCTTCTATTGTTTCTAATCCTCATTCCACTGGGGCTGCATGCTCGACATCTGGCATCACTTCACATTTGTCTTTCAATACTTTCAGTCACACACTCACCTTTTGGTTGATGGAGTGGGCAAATCCAAATTGGTTTCCTCTGAGTTGCTCTGAGAGACGGAGAGATTAAGGAACGACGAAAAGGTAGAGAGAGAAGAGGCACACATTCATCACGTGGGAATAGCACAACATTTTACTTTGCTTTACTGCATCGTTTCTTAACAGGGCTCTATTTCACTCTTATATTGATTCTACAACAAATAAAAAAAATAAAAAAAACAGGGTTTATGATTCAGCTTCACGTCCCATGAGACTCTACCTCGCCATTGAAAAAGAGGAAAGAACTTCCGTCGATGGAGTCATCTAGGAAGTCATCAATCTCCACCGACTCCTGGTCCACTTGCTGCGGCACCTGCTCCACAGACACGCACTGACATTCACACAATAAGAGAAAGATATTTAGCTTCATATGGACGCTCCTAAAAAGCAGGTGGGGGTCGTAGCGCGGAGCAGGCGCGTGTTACCTTGCTGCGACTCATTCTGAAGAGCGTGAAGACGAACAAGTAGAGAGGGTAGACGACCAGACAGGTCACCACGCCTGCCGCCACCGTCTCCCCGCTCAACGAAGAAAACCTGGACGCGGCCCGCGCGCTGCAACGCAGGGCGGTAGTGCAATGTAGGAACACATCAGCTGCACATGTCATGGCGACACAAAATGCTCTCCCTGCTCTACCTGGGTCTCCCGTCCACCACGATGCTGTACCACAGCGCGTTGGCCAACACGAAGAGCTGCAGCACCAACGCGCAGCACGTGGCTCTCTGCAGGCGGGTAAACGGGCTGCGGGGGGGCCTCTCCCACAGCGACAGCCACAGGTGACCGTCGCACAGCGCCCGCTGAAGCTCGCGCTGCAGACGACGGGGCAGCTGACGGAGCACGGCCTCCTCTGAGGGGAAAAACGGGATGGGAGTAAAAAAAAAAAAAAAACGGCATCTCGCACCAGCCAGATGGCGGGGGTGGCGCGCGGTGGCGGGTCGTAGCTTCTCACCCGTGGCCTCCACCTCAACCTCGACCTGTCCGCCGGTCCGCTCGTTGTCGACAGACAGCCACTCGTCGACCAGGAAGTATGAGCTGCTGCCGGTCTGTAAGTCTTTGACCAGGACGTACTGCAGCAGCCACGCTGGAGACAGACCTGGAGAAATGACGGTTACCAGAAGTGTGTTCAAATATCAGCCGGTTGACGTCCTCGGCTGTGTGCGATTGCGTACCCTTGTTGTCGTGCCAAATTCGTATTTTCCAGATATTGCCCAGGCTGGTGTCTGTGGCGACGTGAAAGATGTCGAGAGCGTTGCGCGCGAAAGCTCCTCTGCTGTCGAGGTGGCGGTGCCCACTGCGGCCCTCGCGTCCGTACAGACTGACCCCCACATGAGCCGTGGTGCCTCGGGGGACAGAGAGGTGCATCTTATTGACCGCTTCCACGTATCTGATCTCTACAGAGACTCTCCTTTTGACCACGATCATTTGAATTTGTAGTAATGTCGTTTTTTTGCTTTTCTGTTTTTTCAGATGCAGATCAAGCCAGTTAAAAGACAACAACGTTATTTTCTGCCAGAAATCCAAATGTCCCATCATCCAACTCACCTGCCCCGCGGCTCCAGCCGGTCTTGATCTGGACCTCGTACTTGAAGAGTCCGTCTTGGCCACAGAGTGGGACCACGCCAGCCCGGCGTAGATCCAACTGGTCCAACTTGTGCAAGAGGGCCGCTGCCACGACGTAGCTCAGTAGGCCCAACACACACACCAAGAGCACGACCAGACTTGGTGCACCAGAACGCTCCTACGGGACAAAGGCAAAGAGTCACTTCATCTGGTGCAGATACCTGGTGCAGAAAAACAGTCTCTGTTTCCGTGACACTGACCGGCACTTTGAAGCTGATGGCGTCGGCCGGTACAAACAGGCCCGCGGCGAAGGCCGTGAGGTGCCTGGTGCGACAAACTGCTCTGCTGGCATTGGTTTCTGCAAGGGGCACCATGCCGTCTGTCCGCCACTGCTTCCCACTCTCACTGAAGTACTGACACAAGGAAGCAAACACCCCAACCTCCAGACGAACCCCCGCGGGCGGCGAGCTGGGGCTGCATGGCGTGCTCACGTTGATAAAGTAGTCCAGTGTGGTGTCGTACAACCTGTGCAAGAACGGGGATAGAAATCTAGTTGTCATTGCGAAAATAGATCCCAAACAAATGACTCGGTAACCTCCGAGCTTGACCGTAGGGCCTCAGTTGCTGCCCCAAGTGTAGCATGTGATATAGTAGACAGACATGTTACATAGCAGTAGATGATCAGGAGCTCTTACTCTGGCGACAGGAAGAAGGTGTATTTCCTGTGGTCGAGGTCCTGCCCCCTGGTCATGCCGAGTGTGATGCGTTTTTTGTCTGTGCAGTTGAACTCGTTGGGTCCTTCATGTGAATGAAGGTAGGCTGTGATGTATGGCTCCTCCGCATTGTCTTCTCTTCTATTCTTCTGTCTCGCGTCTGGAGAAGGAGTCGATATAAGAATAAGAAGAATGAAACTGAGTCACAACTAGAAGCATAAAGTAATACAAATTCAAACCATGTTGTGTCATCAAATTGCAAGAAACGATTAAATGCTGTAGATAAGTAGGATGTGTGGCCCGTAAAAGCCCATTGAAAACTCTCTCATGGTACGAGATGGGCCAAATCCACACACGCTGGTTCTTTATTATCCCTGTGAGGCTTCTTGGACGAGTTGCAATGAGAGTAAGAATAATGAAAATGACAAGGCAACATCTCCTTCATGATGCCGTCCAACACCACTACTGTTCCAACTTCTAAATACCTTCCTCTGAAGGTTTTTTTAAGTGGCTAAGCACTAAGATCAGTAATGGGTGTGTGCATGGTATTAAATCAGTTAAGTGGTGAATGTGAGCGCTCACCCTGCAGATTGTTGGTGAAATTGAGCTGCACGAACATCCCCGCCTCTCTGTTGGTGTTTCCCGTGCTGACCCTGACGATGACGGAGTCACAGTGGCTAATGTTAGCCTCAGCCGTGGGGATTCCTCTGGTACCAGAACCCACCAGATCCACCTCTCCTCCACCGCTTCCGTTGTTAACAGCAACAGTGATGGCGAGGCTGTCGTCCAGGCCGGAGATGGGGATCTGAGTGCCATTTTCAGTGCGGAACTCCATGGATGCCACCTCGGTAGAGACGGTGTAGTTGGCCACAAAGTTGAAGGGGAAGGGATTTGACTCCACCTGCTCAGGAAAATAAGGATACTCGTGAGAGGAGCTACACGCGTGTGTGTGTGTGTGTGCGCGCCTTTGTAATACTAACATTTATTATGTGGGGAATGAAAGTTATGATATTAGCACAATATAATACATTTTCTCTGACAATGAGAGTTGTTTAACTGCAATCCAAAGAAAAAGGGTGACACAGACTTTTCTATTCTTCTGAGTAGTTTCTATCATGTCACCTGAAAGAGAAGCTGCATAATGCTGTTTCCTGCTGCAGCTCTGCCAAGACTGTAGTTGAACGCTCGGGGGATGGAGAACCGTTTGCACTCTGGAAACACAACGAGGAGAGAAGATCAAACGCTGACACAAACCGCCATGATGCACGTCGTTCCTCACTTTCCTCTTACTAACGTACCATTTCTTATGAATGTAGGGTATCATTGTTACCACCTACAGGAATATCACTCTCATCTGCTCATAAGATACGGAACACGCGAACCCACCTGGACTGTTGTGGTCATGGTAGCAGAGGAGACTCTGGGGGTCCGCCAGTTTTCCTGTGGCGGCAATCTCAGCCCCCCTCAGCACAAGCGGCTCCTCGTTGAGCACGCGGGCATGCATGAGGATCCGCATGAGGACCGAGGACAGGCTGTAAGCTTTGGCCGCCACTCGCGAGGGGGGCGGGGGTTCCAAAGGGAGGGCTCCTTGCTGGTCCCCGGAGACGGCAGCTGAGGGGTGTGAGGGGGAATTCAAGTGGGCCAGCTGGAGGTAAGACTGGGACGTTGACTGGCCGACCTGATGAATTAGATCACCTGCAGCGAGGGGGGCGACGCGTGAGAAACACATGGAACGGACAAGAGGAGAGGAGGAGAAAAAGATTCAGCTGCACACTTTGTCTTCTCACACAACACCAACCATTATTTTGAAGGGAACCGTCAGTGGAGTGATGGTGTAGAAAGTGGCTAAATAATACGGATCCTGTAGAACAGGCACCATAAAGGCGGTTTACATTATCAGCACGAGTTGCACCAAATCTAAGAGGCTCAATTTTTAGCTCCGCACAACATGACCTACGGAATAATTACCCATTACGTGTACATTTCATGGTAGCCTTTGTTTCTCAGCCTCCTTTTAGAGACAGTGCATGTGATTTGGTTATAAGGAACACAGCCATGATCTTCCCTCAGCAATAGACATGCTCCTAATTAATAGAACTTTACTACATTAGTCAAATACAAACAGATAAGTGTATAATGCAGGACCTCTACGTGTAACAGATCCTAAGCATTTACAGGAAAAGTGCACTTCTTTAAAGCACCCAGGGAGAAACTTTGGACAGGAGGAGCAGGGGGATTGAGAAGTGGTCAAAGGACAATTCGTTACACCCACCGAGCATCCAGCGACTCGAAATGTTACAGCTGACCTTCATTCAGACACAGAAACACAGTTCTGAAGAGCACACGGTCTCGTACCCATGATGTTCAGGATGTTGTCAGCTATCTCAGTGGGAGTGACGGTGCCCTGCTTGGTGTCGGTTTGCAGAATCTCCAGCATGGACTCCAGCTTGTTCAAGGTGCTGTTCTGACATTCCTCACATATGAATTCTCGACTCATCGCCTGGAAAAACCCCCACAAAATTCTTGATTTAATCGCTTTCTTTACTCTTCCTCTTTTCCTTCCTTCCCGCCTTGCCTCACTCTCATCCCGCTCACCGTGCACTGGGCCAAGGCGGCGGACGTCTGCTGGATGTCGTTAACGGTGATCAGGTCCAGAGCGGTCAGCGCTCTGGTGATGTTGCTGCGGATTCGGACTCGGTACCCGCGCTCATTCTGGGAGTGCCTGGTCAGCTCATACTGGAAGAAGGTAAACGCATAAGATTCCTTCACGTGTTTGCAACTGTTGTATAATCGCCCGCCTTGGTTTATCCTACCTCATTGAGCACTGTAATAAGAGCCAACGATAACTCTCGGACCCTCTGGGAGTCTCCCTGCTCCAATAGCTTCTTGAGTTTGCTGTCGGTCAGCTCAGACAGCCAATGGGGAAGGCTCTTGTACTCACGTGGCGCCTCCGGCAGCACCACCTCAATGGACCTGCACACAAACACAAAACGAAAAGCACTGAGCCTGCGGATTTCAACCGTACTCCATCCGTACGGACTGGATTCATTACCGTGTGAAGTACAAAATAGGCTTTCTGACACACGTAGAGTAAAATCTGTTGGATCATTTTTGACAGCAGCTGCCGTTTATCCAAACGCTAAATTCACTGATCAACACACTGTGAGGAAAATATCCACTAAAGCGCAGCTAAACTGTGTTTAGTTGGCGAGGATTTATTTATTTTATTTAAAGTGATAAACACTATAACCCTCAAAACCAAAGGACTGAACATTACTTACGTGGTCTCACTTAGGCTTAACTTAACGAAAACACAGAGCAAAATATAGTTACTTGTTAAGTGCAGTGATGGCTGCTCCCTGGTGGTCCTCCACCCTGATGGACACCGCTACACGGTTTTGGACTGAGCTAAAACCTGGAGGCAGGAAGGCCGAGTGCTCCGGGCTGCTGCCTTTGTACACACAGAACTCTTCGCAGTAATCGTCTCTGCAGCGCGTCACCAATAAGCTGTAGAGCAGAGGAGTCTCTGAGACCCCGAGATCGCTGTAGCCTGTAGGCAAGAGAGTGAGGGAGAAACCAAGAGAAGAGAACAAGTGATGAATAATGGTAAATGCACTAATTAGATGGCAGAGATTTGACAAAACCCGTTACATTACAGGTCATTTAGCAGATGCTTTTTATCCAAAGCGACTTACATTACACTTTAAACCCATGGCTTTTTCACATTTTTGCCCAGGGAGCAACTAGGGGTTAGGTATCTTGCTCAGGGACACTTCGACATGGAACATGAGGCAGCCTGGAATCGAACCACCAACCTTGTGCTTCCCAGCACACCTTCTCTAACCCCTGCGCCACGACGACCCCCGTTACCCCCCCTCTTACCCGAGCAGTTAAAGTGAACCCGGTCCAACAGCGTGCGTATCCTCCAGCCCTCGCCGTCTTTCCCGTACTCCATTCCCGCTTCCCCTCCCCCTCTCAGGTGACACTCCCCACCGGCCGGCGGCATGTTGCTGTGCAGGGTGATGGAGGCGGCGCCGTCGCCATCCAGACTTTCGTCGGTCACGTGCAGAGTGAAGTTGTAGGATTCGCCGTTGAGAAGCACGCCCTGCCGGAGCACCAGGTCCATGCCGTCGCTTTCTGTGGTGGTGGAGGAAGAGTCCAGGACCAGAGTCTGGTTTTCCAGCGTCATGGCACTCCAGCGCTGAGCGGCAGAGAGAGAAGGACTTTACAGATGCAAGCTGGGGATTATGTAGAAATATAACAGCATTGATTGGAAAGAGATGAGAAATTAGATGAGAAAGGGTTTCCTCACTGTGTTTGTTCAGTGCAAACAATGTGAGACAGGAGTGATAAACAGACAAATGATTAGAAACCAGGCTGCAATGCTGAATGCTTTCAGAGGGTTTCTTCTAGATAGCATATTATGAAAAAGGGTAATTAAGGTGAGAAGGGAGGCAGCTTAAAAAAAAAAAGAAAAAGTACATTCTTTTCCTTTTTTTCTTCCATAGAGGCTTTAAAGACGTTATTTTCACTGTATGATGACGCATGTTGTGAAAACCATATCTAGTGAGATGTATGCAAAGAGAACCAAATTATAAACCACCCCTGTATGGAAACTAAAGTACAGTGTGATTATAAAATAGTTTCCCTGGTTTGGGCACATCTGAACGCTAGCATGTGCAATCGGCGGCCCTGAATTGAATGAACGAGTGTTTTGCCTTTCGAAATGTTTCCCAGTGTTTGTAACAACCAAACATATTTTCTCTGGTTCCAGTTTTACGATGACCTCATTCACACACCCACACACATTACAAATCCCAGGGAAAGTCTGGATGGAGAAGAGAGGGGAAGAACGGGGGTTAGGAGAGGATGTGGGAACGTTGAGCTCACTGTTGCTTCTGTGGTGACGTGATGTCACTTTGCTGTGACATAAACATTTGGATTTGGAGTGTGTGTGTGCCTCTGTGTGTGTGTCTGTGTGTGTGTGTGTGTGTCTTTACCCCCCGACGAAATCCATGGCAGTTTTCGCAGGTTCCTTTGAGGTAGACATATGAATTCTGGCTGACCTCGTAGAAGGACTGGGCCTTACAGGACACGCACTCCAGAGACACCATGGGAATGTGGCCGCTCTCAACAAGCACCTGTCAAGCTCACACAAACAAATGTTAGCAAATCAGGATGCGGGAACCCGGGTTTAATCAAGTCACCCTGTGCAGTTGAGTGGGACTATTCTTTTACAGTATCTGTATATCAACATGAGGCTGGACTTGAAGATTGTTTCTTTGACTTTGACAACGTAACAAATAAATATCTAGATATAAATTAAAGGAATTGATCATTAATATTACAATAATAAATCGTAAAGCAGCAACTTTGTACAGGAACTACATGTCAACTTTAATATCTTTTAATGCATAAACGTATTGGTCAAAACATAAATAGCAATTCAAAATTCAGTATATTATATATATATTTATATATATATATATATATATATATAGTAAATCAATTTGAGTGTTGGTGTACCCTTAAGCCCAAACATCTAAAAACACCGAAGACCAACCGAAGGGCCGACGACAAAACACTTCTAACATGCTCAACATGTTGATGTTAGAGTACGAAGAGAGATGCGTGAGGCCCAAAGCCCTTAAGTCTGTTTAACAGGATGTAATTTGGAGAAAATACAACACTTTACGCTGCTGCCGGAGGTCTCAGAATAAAAAAAAGAAGGAAAAGGAACAGTGTTTTTTTATTTGTATGCATTGACGCGTGCAGTAAGGTTGACTTACGGTCTGTGTGGTCGACCCCGGCGGCATGCCGTCTTTGCTGATGGTCAGTCTAAAAGTGTACTCAACGCCTGCTTCCAGCTCGGAGCCGGAGATTCCCAGCACGGGATCACTAGTGCCCAGGCCGAAGTTCAGACTGGAGCAGTGCTCCGCGCCCTGCAGGGAGCAGAGATTAGTTTACAATCCTATACTCCTTGTTTTTGTGTATTTACGTCATTGTCACTAGAAAGAGACACTCAAGAGGCTTTGTGAACACCGCTTTAATTTAAGGTAACTTTTAACCTTAAATCCCGTGGAGGGACAGCTGTGGACATTTGGTGAGGCGGCTTTTCATTTTTTTTGTGATGTCTCATCTGGATGCGAGAACAGCAAAATATGTGAAGCTCTACGATTACTTTGGAACACTCACACATTTGAAGTAAAACAAGTAAATTTATTTCGTCTCTGATCTAATTTAAGATACTGACCTAATGGATTAGAAATATCATCAACTAAAAACTATGACAAATGTCAGAGACAGTGTGGAGTACTTTTCCATTACTATTTACTATTACTATTTTCTCCTGCAATTGTATATATATATATATCAATATTTGTTTCTCTCGAATCCTTTTCTCCATCGTTCTTCTACCAAAGTACAAAACAGTTTCACTCTTTGGAGTCAGATTGTGTGTCCTTCTTTATCAGAAGTGCAACACAGCTGTGTGTGTGTGTGTGTGTTATGTGTGCATATTGTGAATGTGTGTAGTGTAATTGTCAGGGTGGAGAGCAAAGCACCAGCTGTGGAATGTTCATCTCTAAGCCGTTACGTGACCCTTTAACAGGCCCGTCTGCTTAGATGTACGCGCACTTATTCCCACACACATACATTCCTGCAGGACGCACCCATCCCATCGGGTCCTACATTGTGGTCTCTGCAGAGGCAGAATAGGTTACCAACCAGCAGCAAAACGCCATACATATCAAATTTGTTCTCCAAAATCAGTGTTCAATATTTGAACACAGTTTTATTTATACTAAAATCAAGTAAAATATTAAGAAAATAGCAAGCGAGAGAACTTCCTGTCTCACAACAGGAGAAAAAGCAGAAAGAGAAATAAGTCCTCCTGAACTTGAACATGAACTGAAGACATTTAAAAACACCACTCGTTCCTTTGCTACTCATTCTGCCCAATTCACGGGGATTTAAGTTCTAATTTAATCGGCAAAACATCTTTTTTTACATTGGTTTTGTTGCATTTTGTGTATTTGTTCACAAATTAAGCACACATATTTGATCCCGCCTCTACTTTAATCAGCTGTGTCTGTTGCCTGCCCTTACCTTCGAGGTGCCTTGACACTCCCAGTGGTAGTGGAGTAGTGACTGGCGGTCTGGGTCCATGTTGGGATCGTAGGACTGCACAGCGCTGAGCTTCAGGTCCTGAGTCCTTGACCACACCCTGTATGTGCCCCCTTCTATGATGGGCATCAGCCTGACGGGACAAAAGGAGTTAAAGTTAACAGATGAAACTTGTAGACCCCGGCGAGCTGTCAGGTTATTGGTCGATAAATAAACACAGTTGTGCCACATGACGGTTGTGCCCCGTCAATTTACTAATTATAAATCAAAATTCTTCCACACTGGTTTCATGTATGTAGGAATTTTGTGACGCTGTTGGGACAAACTTGATTTGACTTTTTAACATTTACCTCTATTATGGTTTGCAAATTGTATAGTGGTGGTTTGAGAAGATTCTATACATTTTTCCACCATAAATCTAAGTTACTAATTCATTGTAGCTGGCAGAAATTCAATTCAACCTTCAAATTTAAAGGGAGATTCAACCAAATATCAAAAACACATGCTTTTCATGTTACCTTCAGTGCTATGAATAAGCTTCTTCTTCTTCTTCTTATTATTATTAGTATGTATTGTTATTTTGGTGGGATTTGCTTAATTTTGGAGATCTTGAAACACACAAGATTAAGACACCAAAAAATATCTTTCAATATAGTTTTCAAATAGTTGCTACATTAAATTATATCATTTCTTGGAAGATAGCTGCATTCTTCAAATCATTATTTTGGCACTTGAAAAAGACTTGGAATATTGTGTCAATTCCATACTGTATCAAGCTCAGAAAATAAATAAATAATAAATCAGAAAAAAAATCAATAATAGTGCAAACTTTGTTTATCCACCGACCTGGTTGCCATGACACTGAGCTGCAGACAGGCGGCCTTCCGTAGCGGCACGCCTTCGTAGGACATGGAAAACACCAATGAGTAGTTCCCTGCAGCTAGAGCCATCTTAGGCAGCGACAGCTGTAGCCGTCGCACATCGACCTCCACCGGGAGGCGGACTATAGGGACAAGCAAAGACTGATAGGGCTGAGTTGCCACCCCAGGGGCAACACTGGGGCCTTCGTCATTATCACAGGAGGGAGTCGCAAGTATCTGCCAGAGGTACTGAGCTCCGTAGTGGAGGCAGCCCTTCAGGTCCACGCTAGCTTCCACTAACGTGGGCTGCGAGCGCCAGATGGCCAGACGGGGGGCTTGAACCACCTGCACTTCTGGCTCCTCACACTCCAATACGCTGATGCTTATCTCCACCTGGGCCAGAACCCAGCTCACCAGGTTACTGCAGTTCACCTGGCAGAGAGAAAACCCCCCACAGAAATCTCAAAACAGCTTCATATTTCATAGATAAACACTATGAATGATGAACGTATAGAGTACAGGGGAAAAGAAACCTACTTGGACGGAGTATTGTCCTGGGTGGCTGTACTCATAACCCACAGTGGTGGTGTTTGTGTGAAGAGGAGTAGAGCTGTCGCCAAAGTCCCACAAGCACGTCACAGAATTAGATCTGGGTGTGATGTGTGCAATCAGGGTCACCGTCTTATTGATGAAGGTGTCCACGGGCGCTGCATGCAGAACAGCTGCTGAAAGCTGGTTCTGCACCATGATGTACTTTGTAACGTTCTGAGAATGTAGTGTGTTGAGGGCCTTCAGGTAGATGGTCAATAGACCTGGTTCTTCTGGCGTGTAGAACACCTAGGGTTGTGGGAGACACATCAACGTCTAACAGTTGTTTTCTTTATTATCATATTTAGTAATTATGACTATTCAAATTGGTCTGACCTCTTTAGTCATGTGCATCGTCATGGCATGGTGGTGTAGATCAAAAGTCCACAAGAACCGAACAGGCTTGCCTGTCAGGATGTTGGCTGCAAACAATCTCCTGACCCCCACGGGGATCGCGTCACTGCTTCCCTGGATGGAAAGTCCCTGCACCGGCTCCATCACCTCCACTTGGAGGTGCCACTTAATCAAACTCACCTGGATTGTCATATTGCGACAGAACATGTGCACTGCATTAGCTTTATTTACCCTTTCTGGCTTTGACAATCAAGAGCTAATGCCAGAAACAGAACTGTAGTGATCCTTCCCAAATATTTCCTCATTTCTGCTGAGAACACTCTACATACTGACTTCAAGTGACGTTTTAGTTCAAGTAAGCAGCCAATGATCTCATGTTGATAGACATGTCTTTGAAAATGTACCCATATGTCTGGCATTGATAACTAACATTATGCTTTTACTAGTGTGGAGACTGGCAAAAGTAGAGAATGTGAAATATGATACCAAAGGCTGTAAAGCCTTTTTTTTCTGGAATAGTATCGTGTTTGAATGCTGTCCATCTTTACCTGGTTCTGAGCGGTGAGATTCACCATGTGCGTGGCCACCCTGGTGAACGTGTGGCTGTAGGTTTGGTTGGGTTGAAGGGTAACAGTGGTATCTCCGCTGATGTTCAGTATGAGGGAAACGTCAGAGCCCGCTGCCATTAACACGGTTAAGTTCACCTTCTCGCCGACCGCCGCAAATTTTTTACTCGCCCTCAGCTCCAACCCCTTTATCTTGTCCTGAACGAAGAACTCTCTAGAAACGACTTGCCCGTTGATGTCGTTGGTCGCGTTCACAGTGACGGTGGCTGTTTTCGCCTCTTGGAAAACAATAGAAGTATTCCTTCCCATTTCTGTTCTTCCTTTGAACTGCCACGTCCACGTGACGTTGGTTCCTGTCAGTACCTCCCCCTGCAGCGAGACGCTGTCGCCCGTCGCTACGTAACCCTGCTTGGTCACGTTGGTGGCGTTGAATCGTAGACCAGAGATGACTTCCTGGACGCTGACTATCTTTGACTCAACCTTTGAGCTGACCTCATTGAAGACTTCCACAGTGACAAGCTTGAGGCCGGGACTCATGAAGGTGTGGGTCTTCCAGGGATGGTTCCACTTCAAAGGGTCCCCATTCACAGACCAGCGGTACTGCAGGTCAGAGCCTTCAAGACTCAGCACCGTCAGATTAGTTGAAGCATTGACCGCAACTGGGTTGTCGCTGACCAGCAGGTTCACCCCTCCAGCTGGTTCCAGAAAGCGGATGGTTCTGGTGACAGACAGGTGGCCCAGGAGGTTGGCAGCCCGGAGAAATATATCACATGGTCCTGGTGTGGAGAAATTCACCTGCACTGTCTTCCCGCTTACGTTGAAACTCGAGCTTTGGGAGTCTGGCTCTTTGATGAGGCTCCAAGTGAACGTCATGTTGGTTCCTTCCTTTAATCCCGCGTGAAGGTGGAGAACGCGGTTTGTAGCAAAGCAGCAACCGTCCAATCCCGCGCCTCTGATCTCGTCCTCTGCTAAAATCTGCAGCCCCTCCAGCTCACGTTGGACATAGAGGAAGACACTCGCTTGTGTCGTTCCGACGTCGTTCTCCGCTGTCACGATGATGTTGAAAGTTCCAACGGAGCGGAAAGTGTAGAACATAGTGTGTTTCTCTTGGATTGGGGTGCAACGGTCACACAAATTCCAAGAAAACCGGACATCATCTCCCTCTTCCATTTGGGCCTCAAAGTGGACCGAGGCATTGAGAGGGACGTTTACCAAGCTGGCGTTGACAGTCAATCCACAGATTGGTGTGAGCACAGTAACAGGTAAAGTGGTGTGATTTCTGCTAACTGTGTTGGCTGCTGTTAGTGTAATATTGTAGTTTCCAGAGGTGTTGAAGTTATGGAGGACACTCTGGCCTGTAAGCTTATTTTCATCTCCAAAGCTCCAGACATAAGTAACGTTGTAGGCCATGGAAGATGTTGTGAAAGAGTATGGCGCTTTAAGAGTCAGGTTATTGTATTTGGTGCCATTATGTTGAATGACAATGGGACCCACGGGCATGAAAACCTCAATCAAAACACTGGTGTTAATAGTGGATATGTTATTGAAGGCAATGACTGTCACACTGTAACGGCCAGGGTTTTTATACGTTGTCCGGACATTCCCAGAGCCACTTACAAGCCCAACGTCTTCCCCTCTACCAAAGTCCCACTGATAGCTGTAGTTAAATTCTGGCTGTGCTCTGGCCTGCAAACGGATCTCATCCCCAACAGCGTAGTGGGATTTCTCCAGGTTGAGGCTGATGTTAGTCAACGCTGGCTGCACGCACACCCAGTTGAAGAAGTTTGCCTTGGTGGCCTCGTTGACCCCGCTGGAGAGAAGCAGTGAGAGGTGGTAGTTCCCACTGGTCCAGTACGTGTGCGAGACTCTGGGGTCGCCGCGGTGCGTCTCGTTTGCGGTGGCGTCCCCAAAGCTCCATTCATAAAGATGAGCCGACGCGTTACCGGACACCCAAGCCTGAAAGTTGACGGGGGTCTGCTCTTGGACACAGCCGTTGGGCTCCATTTTCACAACTTGGAAAACGAACACCTGCACTGGTAGGATTGTCCAGCCGGAGCTCACAGCGTTGGCGGCCGTTACATTCACCGTGTAGTTGCCGTCTTTGATGTAACTGTGGGACACCTCAGGTTCGGGTTGTGTGTAGACGGTCCCATCTCCCATTGAGAATCTCCATGTGATGTTATTACCTAATCCAAGGCGGGCCCGTACTGTAGTAGGACTGTGAAGCTCTGTAGGAGAAGAGCTTTCAGCTGTCAAATCTCCAACCTCCTCATACACAAACATCTCCGCACAAGCGTCCATCGAACTGATAGTGTTGTTAACATGTACGCAGACATTAAAGACGCCACTCTGTGCAAAGGTGTGTGCCACGCGGCGACCTCGCAGCAGGGCGGAACCATCTCCAAAGTGCCAGTCATAGTGAATGCCATACGGAGAGGGCAGAGGGTGAGCCTCAAAATCGGCCGATTTGCCAGTGAGGAGAAGTAGCGGCTCCGTTTGTATGTCGACACGGGTGAGGATGCTGTAGACGCTCATGTTGATGCTCTGACTGATGTTCTCATAGCGATTGGACACTGACACTAATGCTGTGTATATTCCTACAGAAGAAGAAAGGGAGAGGAAGGGGAAAGGGGGTGAAATGACCTTCTTGTTGCTTTGGCAAATGGAAACAAAAACATTGTGAGGCGGCTGATAGGAAGATGGGCGGGGGCTCACCTGGCTGGGAGTAAATGTAGGTGACGTTGTTGCTTAGAAGCACCTGATTGGGGGAGTCTGGGCAGAGGAGGGAAGGGGCATAGGGAGGCTTGTATTCAAATTCCTTATATCCGCCGTCACCAAAAGACCATCTGCAGAACCACAGAGATGATGTAAAACCATTAAACAAGTAAACTAAATAAATACTCATATTCGACAAGTAAATGTATTGAACTACTTCACATACAAGAGTGTGTGTATTTGAATGCACATACACATACACACTTGCACTGGAAAGAGGGAATAGCATTGTCCGTGTGGAGTGAAAGAGAGCACCATGATTGGGAGGGTGAAAATGTGAGCGAGGGTGGGAGAAGAAGGGAGAAGAAGAGGAAGGACGGATGGGGGGGGGGAGGGGGTGTTACAGGGGAAACGGCGAGCTGAAGGGAAAATTCTTGTCAGCAATCTGCTCTAACCACACAGCTATAAATTCAAGGGTCTGCGTTGTGTGACTGCTGCTATTATGGCTCACAGGAGACGGAGAATGGAGCAAAGAGAAAGAGATAAAGGAGAAGAAAGGAGCAGTCAAACACAAACAGATGCAATGTGTTTCCACTCAGCCTTCAAAAGCAAGAGAAGAGACAGAGAGAAAAGTTTTCATTCCTTTTCCTAAAAACACCACAGCAAATATCCATTTGTCTGTCTGTCCATCATGGATCAACAGCCCCCCCCCTCCTCCCCCAGTTGTTGTTACCGGAAAGTGGCGGCCACAGACATGTCGACAAGAACAGAGGTGGTGAGAGTCTGAGTGGAGCACTGAGGGACAACATCTGGCACGCCCTTTACTGTGACGTTGGCCATGGGCTGCAGCCGGTCCACCGTCACGTTGAAGTGCTCCGTGAGCTTGCTGAAGTGGTTCATGGCCGTCACCTGGGAAAAAACACCACATGACACGTTGCAACACTATGAGGTGCCAGAACAAGATGTGATCTAACTAGTGGGGCTAAAACGGACAGGGAATTGATTGATCGTAAATAACAGATGTTGTGCTCAGACTGGTTTTTATCTCCAGAATAGTCAAACGTCTTTAAGGTATTGGAACTGAGACCTGTTACAGGAATGTCTTCGGACAACCTTAATGATTACATAGTAATAAATGCAGTTTTGTGTTTTAACTGCATTAGTACCAAATCAATTATTCAGTTTGCATCTGAAAAAAAATCTTTCAAATGCTGAAAGGTTCCGTGCTGTTTCATATTTTTCACACATCGATCGTGTGATGCTCTTTGCAAAGGTGACTTGTGATAAACCTTTTAGTTAAATCTCAGTGTTCAAACATAAGACTGTGTATCCAAAAACCTCATGAAATAATGAACCTAGCGATTAATATTAAACTGTAAACGAGGTTCGGCAGCATGTCTCTTGTTGGTTGTGGAGAGAAACTCACAGTGAGCTTGTAGGTGGCGGCCTGCTGGTAGATGACATTGAGGACGGTGTTATAATAGGTGAAGTATGGCTTGTCATCCACTGTCCATTTAAACGTGGGATTGGAGCCTTCCTGCACTGATGCTGTGTAGCTCTGAAACACCCACACATGAAGACACGTTACAAAGCCATTACACTGCAGAGTGCATCCTGTATCATCAATAGAAGTGAAGTAAACACATTCACACACCACAACGGACTCCATCAGCACCCTGTGTGCAGGATGCGGCTGCACCACCAGTACTCTGAGCGGCTCTTCCAAGTGGACCACCACCGACAGGCTGGCCTCAGTCACGTTATTGTGGGCCTCCAGCTCCACCTTCACCGGACTTCTCTGCTCCTCCGTACTCAAGTTTAGATCCAGCACTGCATACAAGCTGGGCTCTGTGGCCTCCCCCCCCGACTCCGAGCCCGCCTCTGGCTGACAGAGTCCTGGACCAGCAGAGAACTCTTGGGGACATTCGGGCTGGAAGGTGACGCTGTGATTACCGCCGGGCCGCCAAGCCTTTGTTGGGTAGCTCGAGCGGACCCGGAGCAGCAGCTTGGTGTTGCTGGGCTGCAGGTAGAGGGTGCCATTCTCTGGGTGGGGGTGAAGGATGGTCAAACCCAGAGGAGGCACCACTCGCAATGGGCATGATGCAGAGGCTGGGTATGATGGTTCAGCTGAAGTCACCTGGAATTCATGAATTACATTGTGTATCAATTCTTTTTTTAATACAACAGATTACCAATATAGGACAAAAATGGATAACAACAAATATGATATGATGATGATGATCAATCAGCCGGTGTTAAAATATCTTCAATCTTGAATGTAAATGTGTGAATTGACTCGTCAAACATTATTACCAGCAGCCTGTAGAGTCCGGGCTGTTTCAGGCCATCAGACAACTGTACTCCCAGGAGCTGAGTCTCACTGTGTCCCACATAGAGCACCCTGACGGGACAAACTACCTCCTCCAGCCAGACTCCCTCACCACCCTCCACCAGGGTCTTCAGGTCAAGCTCTGGGGAAGGCTGAAGGTCAGCCACGCTTTCTATCGACTGCGCGGTGTTGTTGATCCAGAACCACTCTGACTGGTTGAGGGCAAAGACGGGCTGTCGCCACATTGAATGTGGGGAAGACTTGCAGTGGAGGAGGGAGGCGGGGCCAGCATCGTGCTGCAGCGCGATGATGTCGCCAGGGGAAACCAACAGGTCCTCCAGGTGTTCTCGTACCTGAGAGAAACAGGGATCAGAAGTAAACAAGGCTGCACAGCCTCAACTGTTTGACCAGTCTCATACAGTTTTCGTTCACATATTATTTAATCACTAAATAATCAGTTCGAAGGCAAAAGCAAATCCTCTCACCAGTACGTGTGCAGCCGGTCCCGGTGGTAGAGTGAAGACCACCTCATTCTGCAGGGTGTATCTAGGCCTGCGGGCCCCGGGGGGCAGGAGGTGACCCTGTGTGCAGTTCGGACAGGCAGACGGGCGGCAGGGACTGAGGAGGGGAAGGCAACGGCGCTGGAAGGGACACCACTGCTCTAGTCGGGGGCACGAGGACGGATCACCGCTCCGGGTGTCATTAGGGACACAAACCGCCACCGGGGCGCACGCTGGACCCCCACAGCCTGAGACACAAATTATGCGTGGTTTAATCATTTACTCGTAGTTGTTTAGCCAAATTGAAATAAAGAGAATAACTAAAAGATGTTTTTTGTGCCGTGCAGGGTTGCAGTTAGGTGACATGTGTCTGGACGAGGACAGGAAGTCCTCAGGAGGGAGGCGATCTTGATGGCTGCTGTCTCGTTTCTCTTCCGTTTTGCACTTCATTCGAAATGTTCTTTAATGTTGACTTTCCCTAACAACTTCAGACAAGGCTTTGTGTGTGTGTGTGTGTGTGTCTATGTTTTTGTCCAACTTGTGTTGTGGGGGCGCAGATGGCTTATGCTTTTTTTTTCTTACCACGCGCTGATAGTCACCAGCTATGTGCGGATGGTTTCAGGTGTCACGTGTGAGTTTTGGGGTGTGACTCACTGGGAAGCAGCAGGTGCAGGCCGGGATGATGACAGTACGGTCTGTAGGTCTGGAACCGGACGTGGATTTGTGAACGGAGCTCCGGAGCGACGAACTCCAGAGAGGACAGACGACCTGCCCGAACGCAGCTCATAGCTGGGAACAGCAGCACCTGTGATTGACGAATGAGAGAAACAGACGGAAAGTTTGATGAAAAGCAGGTTTCGAGGAGCAAGATACGGTCATTGAATTAACCAGGGGAGATTCCTCCTCACCTCTACGCCTCCTCTGGGAGGCTGTGGAGTGGAGAGCGGAGCGGGCGCGGCGCGGTGCAAAGGATTATGGGAGGGAAACACAGTCAGGCCCAAAGTGTAAATCCCTGCATCTGGAACACGCACTAGATCATACAAGGGGACAAAAGACGGGGAGCTGCTTTATGTTCACCTCATTTTAAAATTAAAAAGAGTAAAGATCTAGAAGTGGTGGGGTGGTAAACATGGCAGTAATAGTATAGTAAGTAGTAGTAGTATAGTAAGTTCAGATATCCAGCTGCCACATATAAAATACATTGTGAAGTCTGCTCACTTTCTACAGCTTAAACAGATTAAATACATACAATGCCTGATTCTTCTACAAACTGAGCATGTACAGATAGAGGTTAGGAGATATGGGAATCACTGCTTGACTCATGTAGAATTGCTTCCTCTCTTCCCTTAAACGGTACGACTCGTTACGAGAGGAGGTTGTTCGCTCGTTTGTATCACAGCTTCATTTGCGTAGAATCGGTAGTATAGAAGGTTAAAGCTTCTTGCCAAAGGAGGAGAGGCATTTGCATTCCATCTCTGCCTCAGTTTTCCTTTTCCTCCTCTTGATTACATAAGGCTGTGTCCCAGTGTGTCTGCGTGAAGGTGTACCTTGGGCGTTGTACTGGCAGACGTAGGCCCGCTTGGCATTGCATGGGTGCGAACTGGTCTGAGCCGACTGATCGAGGGACACGCACACGTTTCCACGGGCGATGGAGGAACGCGGCGGCGGGCCCTCCTCTCCCTCCTGAGCGTCCGAGCCGTCCATCCAGCGCAGCTTGCCCGGAGAGTCGACGTCGCTGAAGCCGAGCCACGCTCCTCGCACCCTGGGGGGTTGGGCGAAAAGAAAGGTAAGACACAGCGTACCTGCAAAGATAGTTATTGCACATGAAGTGGCTGTTGGGCGACCGTGGCTCAGTGGAGGAGCAGGATCGCCCTTGAATCAGAGCATCGGCCGGTTGGATCCCCGGCAGCTCCACGTGTCGATGCGTCCTTGAGCGAGACGCTTAACAAATATCTTCCGCGGGATGTTTCTGATGTGTGTGTGACAGGGTACTAACGATTCGTCAGTCCTCCAGGGCTTGGATGTACCAATGGGTGTATATGGCTGAAAGACTAAAAAAAGAGCTGTACAATAAGACCATTTTCCTTTGACATGCCGTTAAAGCAGGAGAAAATATATATTTTTATACATGTTGTGTGATCTTGACTTGAATCAAACTGTGACATTTAAGTTTCTCAATCATTTACCAGCTTGACTTCAAGAATCAATGATTGCAGTGAAGAGAAAGCTGAAATGGGCTTGGATTGAACTCCAGTGGGATGTTAAGAGAGTGGATGCCAGATATTGAATAGGCTCTGTGATTACAACAGGAACCCCATGAGCCCACTAATGGACTGCGCATTTCATCCGCTTTCGTTCCATAAGCTGTGAACTGGAAAAGGTTATAGGCTGTGACACGAGACAATGGAAGTCTAGTTTTGATTCTTGTGTCCAAAACTTCGCCCAGCTATGTGCAATTTCCTCCGTGGTCTTGTTTTCAATCTATTTTTTATCTTTTGTTAAGATTTGTCAACAATGTCTGAACACCCACATCTGTGAAAACGGCTTCTTAAAGACCGGACAGGTTCAAATATTGAATATATAACAAGAAAAAAGAGTCTCTGAGGCAAAAAATAAGACCTAATGTTTATAGAGCTCCTTACATAAGTGAGAGGGTGGAGGAGGAGAGAGGGGATAAGCTCCATCTGCAGCAGGTTTTTTTTCCTCCATCATCCATTTTAGGCTGTGAGGGCAGGGCCTCCACCCCAACACAACACACACGCGTCATGAACTGTGGACTCCTCCTCCCAGGGCGATGAAAGCTACAACGCAGCTGTGCTTTTACAGATGTGTTTTTTTGTGACACTCTCTGACCTAAACACCAAAACCGGGGGACTTCAGAACAGCACAAGTCCACAAACTCTCTCAGCGAAGCAAAGCCGAAAGAAACATGACTATTTTTGCAAGGAGGACTGTACGCTGATACTATGTCAAGGCCTAGATGGGTATTTATCTATATAAATATATATATAATATAATGTATATGAATGAATGGGGATGACAAATGACAAATAGACCACAGAAAGTACTGAAAGCTTAACGGCATGACGTTACACTACTGATACTATAGCAAAAAAGAAAAGCTCTGGCCTTCAAAAAACGATTTGAAGTCTGAAGAATGTGCTTACAAATCCAAACCATGTACTCTGTGATTGTCAGTTATTTTCCAAATCTGTTCGAATACTTGAACCTTTCAAAATAGTTTGAGGGCGTTCCAGGATGATGGGATCAGGATAATGATGTTCTTCTTTTGTCGTGTGGCACTCACCAATGTTTGCTTATTTCTGCTCTTGCCGTGGGTAACAGCACATTTAATTGTGGTCGAGAGCCCTCTTCCCAATACAACCCCCCCCCACCCCCTATTTTGCCTCATTTTCAAACTAAAACGGAAAGAAACATTAAATTACGGGATCATGAAAAAATGCATTAATGTCGTATGATCAAATTTAGAGCATTAAATGTTTCAGAAGAACACTCACTGCGTGATCTTGGGTGCCAGCAGGATGCGCAGCGCGTCGCTCCTGACTATCGCCAGATTCCCGCCGCAGTCTGAACACTGCTGGCGAGCGTCCGTCCAGCTGAACTCGCCCGAGACGATCTGGAAGCAGCGAGAGGACTCGTCGTGGCACACCCCGTTGTTTGGGAAGTGAGGGCAGGCTGGCAGAGGACAGAAACATTCACACCCCGTTACAGCTTCATGTCTCCTTCATGCGGAGAACTTATGCGCCCTTGAGATTAGAAAGTAAACAACGACACGCTCAAACAGCCCCTTAGTGTGATGTTGTCTTCGTTCCCTTAACATTCAAGAGGAAAAAAAACACTTTACTGGTTACTCTGCTGCAAAATATATAATAATTATTATTATTTTCTCATCCACATATGAAAAATAAGGTATATTTGTACTTAAAAGGCAGTTTAGTGTCAGTGATATATTTGTTCAACATTTTCTTTTTTGTCATACTTTGATACAATACTGTTTTCCTACATTGAAAACAAGCAAAGGTGTATAAAGCTAGCTGCATATATTTTACTTGCACAGCTCAGACAAGTTGGAATTCAAGTTTAAAAAAAATAATCTTCAAGGCTTAGAATTTATCTGACAAGATGCACACGCGGTACAATGTATTACGACAAGACACGCGAGACAATAACTCCATTGCAGTTCAAGGTGTTTACAAAGCTCGTACTGTTCAAACAGATCTGTTGTTAAGACTGAAAGAGGTGCAAACAGTGAAGGACAGTTAAAGGGAAAGAAATGTGGGCACAGAGGACAGAAAATGTTAATCTGACTATTTTTTATGTATGCGTCTGTGTGCACTTCCATTTCCGTTAAATGAAATGTATTTAAAAAAAGGCTTCTGGGAAATTGAGACAAACGGACAAAAAAGAAAAGAAAAAAAAAATAGAAAAACAATTAAAAAAACAAAACCTTTTTTTTAAGTTTTATAGACAGAGCTGCTTTACTCACACATCTGTCACACTAGGGACACACAGCCAGGGACCTGACTTTCTACTTTGTCCTCTAGTGAGTGCCATTAGTCAGAACTACGTCCTCGTACAGCCTCTCTCTCTCTGAAGCTACGCCTCCCGCTGTAGAAACATGGCCTGTAGTATAGTAAAGACTACCAAACTATACAGTAATTGCCCGCAATTATCACCTATTCTTTTGAGTGTCCTTTCATAAAGGAAGGTTGATGATTCACCCCAACAAACTGACGGCTCAAAGGCATGAAGTTATACTACTAATACCATAAGAAATGAAAAGCTCTGGCCTTCAAACAACTAGAAGTCTGAACAATGCGTTCACAAATCCAAATCATGGACTCATGTCAGTTATTCAAAGCTCCAAATGATTATTAGGAACAATTCTATGAAAACAATTAGCTCACAATTTACCAACAACACCAATGCCATTTGTGTCCTAATTCGGCTGTCGAGTGTCGATCCGTCTCACTTGGTTTATCTTACCTTTGGCAACCTCAACACCATCCTTCGAAATCTTCCAATCAACATTCAAGCCATCAGCACCCCAGCTGACCAGTGTGATGTCCAGGCTCTTATTGGCCACAGCTAGAGGTGGACAGCGCAGCTCCAGCTTGGGAGGAAGTGTCACGGTGACTCCTGCGCGTGCTGAACGTACCTGACAAACACAAACAAATGTACAACACAATATCACAATCACAGCTAATTATGTTGACTGTAAAAGAAAATAAAGTATTTCCTAATCTTTTCCCTCACCTCCTTGTGTCCAGCCCAAGCCATCAAACCGACCGCATAATGCCCCGGAAGCCCATATTTGTGAGTTGCTGTGGTGCACCCCGATTCTGTAGTGTTGACTCGGGACGAAAGGTCACCAAAGTCCCAGGACAGGGTCACCGGCGTGACGGAGGAAGCGGCAGAGAAACTGACGCTGTCGTGGACGCTTTGCAGCGCGAGGGGCTTCAGCGACACGGCGAAGTCCACCGCGAACACGTCGTCGGCCAGAGTCCACCCGCATTCCTGCGCACAGAGGGGACCGCATGAGGAAGACGAGGTTTCCGTGTGAATGAACCACCATGAAGCGGCGGAACGCCACGCCCGGGGACCACCGCGTGCTGCGTACCTTCATGACGTGGGGGTTCGTGCAGGCGGCTGAACAGCGAGCTTTGCTGATGAAGTTTGGCTCGGAGTTTGTGCTGCAGAGGCACTCGCGTCTCGCCCCCAAACCCCCGTAGCGGTGCAGCGCGGCGAAGCACACGCTGTTACACTGCTCGCTCGTGAAGTTCCCCGGTGTGGAGGAGGAGAAGATGACAAGCTCACTCCGTCCACCTCCTCCACTGCTGCTGTCCTCCAGGCAAGCGGCGTAGTTGAGACCTGGAGAAGAAGGGGAAAAAAAAGTTCAATCATATATATATTTTGGCTGATTTCTCATTTGACACTACAGGAATCAGGACTAATTTATTACCAAAATATGTCAGACATACAAGGAATTTGACTTGGCGGTTGGTGCATGACATCAGACAGACAGAGGAGTCGGCAATCAGCAGCAGACCTTCTCTGTCTAAAGCGGCATAATAAATTGAGAAAAGGGCCTCGGTTTATCAAGTTGACTTCCTTGATGTCTTTCTCGGGTTCAGCCCAGTGGAGACACTTCATTTTAGTCCCTCGACTCCTTCTGTGTTCAATACGTGAATCTGAGTGGTAGGAATCCAAACGGGGATGTTTTTGGTATTGGTGGTTGTTGGTTTCGTACCACAGGTGAGCAGGCTGACGTTGAGCAGCGGCTGGCCCAGCAGCTCGGGAGGTTGCCTGCACAGCATGTCCTCCGGCCGGCGGACCCGCACCCCTTTCTCCTGGAGCCAGCTGACCAGCCGAAACAACTTACAGTCACAATCAAAGGGGTTACCGCTCAGGTCGCTGCAGGAGAGGAAGACACGGAGGAAGTGGATCAGTCATGGCGAAACGTGATAACACACACACACAGGTTAACATCTTACACTAAAAAGAAAACAAAAAAGTCTTAACCACAATAATAAATAATACTCCAAATTTTGGAAATTACACTTGTTTCCTGTCTCAGAGTAGTTAGATGACGAATATAAAATATCAAACACCAAACGGTTAAAAACAGCCAAAGAATATTCTGTTAAACTTAATTAAAATGATCTTTTCGGGTGTATTTGGTAATCCGACACATTGGCCATGCATCCATTTTGTTCCGAAGTATGAGACCTTCACCATAAGGAGAAGGACTTCTGTAGGCTGCGTCCGTGCCGGCTGTCTTTGGTCAGTAGCGTGATGGGCTAACTGTCTGTCAAACCCTAAGATACAATGTGTGATTACTTACATTTGAGTTAAATTGCAGAGGTTGTCGTATATTCTTTCGTCTATGGTGGTGATGAGGTTGTTACTCAAATCGCTGACGGAGACAGAAGATGACATTAAAACACATTGTTAGTCACTCTTTTGACTGCATTGCTTTGTGGCATTGCGGTATCATACTATGATACTGTCATTTTTGGCAAAATGAGTTATGAATGTGGTGTGAATTTTCCACTGAGTAAAAAACACAAAGGCACTCATTGAGTCCCGGGATGAATAAAGAAGAGAAAACATTTTTTCCGACATTATTATCTGATTTTACATTGATGCAGTGGTGCAAAATCACTTTTGAATTGGTGTTGATCAAACAAGTGGGCATTTTACAAAAAAAAAAACTTGTGTAACTCTGATATATAACAAAACACACAGCGGAGTGATAAAAAAACAAAACTAAATGCTGAGTAAGCGACAGCTTTTTGATATTTCTCTCTCTCTTTTTCTTTACTCCTGCTCCCCCTTGTCCTCGTCACCCTCCCTCTCCTCTCTGTCCAGTAGGCTACATAATGGGGCCGTTGTGTGGTGGTTTTTGGAAGGAACTGATGGAAAACGGTCTTTTCTCCACACAAAAACACACACACATGCTGAAGCGCCCATTAAATGGGTGGAAGAAATTATGTAATGGCTGGAGGAAGGGAGAGAGGGAGGAAGGGGCGGAGGGAGGTTCAATGGGAGCCGTAAGCTGTAATTGAACTTAATCGTGCAGTGATTGGTGTGTGTGCGTCGCCGTGCGGGTTTGTGTGTGTGCAGTATACGATGTGTGTGTGTTTTTTTGTGTAAAGGCTCACTCAGGGGATCTCTGCCTGTTTAAATACAGACTAAACCGAGCATTTCTCCCCTCTGCATCTTGCTCATTCTCCTCCCCTCTCAACCGCGGGTTGCGTGGAACTCGTCTTCTTTAGACGTTGTACTCACAGGATTGACAGTTGCCCGCAGCAGAACAGTCCTCTCGGGGGAACATTGATCCTGTTCCCTTGAAGATATCTTAAGAGATGTAGATGTATGTATACGTTTATAGAAGAAAGTAATTACAGGCATGCAGGTCGATTGGGTTTAAGACACCTGAACAAATATATATATATATATATATACACACACGCACACATGCAGGTATATACACAGTATATATGCAGGGATGCACACTGAGTGCATGTGGGTAAAACAAACGTGTCGCGCGCGCTGTGTGTACTCACAGCTCTCGGAGGACGGTGAGACGATCGAGCAGGCCGGTATCAAGAGAGGAGATGTGGTTCTTGGAAAGATCTCTGCAGGAACAAACCAACACGGCCACATTTAAAATAAAGCGACTGCAGGCAGCCACACTCACAGACAAAGTAGTTTACCATATAAAGGGCTGTAAAGTTCTGACAGCGAAGGAGAGAGACACATTAGATATTACGTACTGTAGCTTCGCCAAGGAGCGCTAACAGCAATACGAACGACGCAGGAGTTCTGGTGAATATACCTTTTTTCTATGACACGTCATAATACACAAGTTATCAGGTGAAATAAATAAATCAACATAGCTCGAAACACTTTTAAGAACCAGAAAGATATTTCACTTCAAGATGGTTTCTCTTCAACAAATGTTTATGAGTCAGTGAACTTACACTAACTAAAATAGCATTTATAGCTATTTATTTTTGTCCCTAGCAAATCTTAACTGGGGTTGAAATGATTGCATGGTGTTTGTTTGTGTATGTGTGTGTGAGTCTGTTAGACCTCACAGCTACAGACACACAACCTGTCATTTTTCATCAAAATGATATGATACCACTTGAATTAAAGATGTACTTTTGTATAAAGTTTGGGGACTTAGACAGTAATGTGAGGAATCAAGGAAGCAGAGACCGAGGCATTCAAACTTTTTCCCCCCGGTATGGGAAACACAAGATCCTACATTTCCCATAATGCACCCAATATCAACAAATGTAGGCCCCTCCCCGCCTGTAAAATTCAAATAACATTCCTCCACAGGCTTTTTGTGTAAAAAAAAAAGAAAAAAGTTTCCTGTTTGAAAAACAAATCCCAAGCTGAATATATCACTATGATATCATCACGGTCACCTTTTCAGAAAGAAAAAAAACTACTTCAAATAGACAAGGTTACTTGAGCAACCAAGAATCACAGCTTCACCTAAGAAAGGTAATGCCGCTCCGCTTAAAACCGCCAATAAGGATGAAGACTTTCCCTTCACAGCAAAGCCAAACAAAGGTGGAAAGAATAACACGGAGCCAAAGGTTGTGGGAGGACAAAACACCCTGTGTGTGTGTGTGTGTGTGTGTGTGTGTGTGTGCCACAGACAGACAGGCAATATTCAGTGTGTTCATTTTACACTCAAAATTAAAAATCAAAGTCTAAGACGGGAAAATGTATGTTTAACTGAATGGGAATGTACACCTCTTTCTCTTTCTTTCTATGTGCATGTGTGTCTGCATGTGTGTTAACAGAGCAGGACGCCCATTCCCAAAAGGAAACATCTGTACATTCCAGACAAGCTGTGTAAGAAAGATGGAGACGGAGAGAGAGGGATCTCTGCTTTACCCATCAGCAGATGAAACCAGGCCACACCGAGGGGCTCATCTGAGAAAGCAGTCACACATCAGACTGATGTCTTATGTAATGATATCAAAGTCAGGTGTGCGTGCATGTCTGTGCGAGTAAAACACAACTGTATGCAGAAAGGTTCTTTCTGACTTCATTGCGCACAGACAAGAGGGGATTAAGTGGAGAGAAAGTGTGCATGTGTGTTTAACGTGACCATACGATGTGACCTTCACCATGTCTATTAGCAACAGGCTCCCGTTCTCTCGGCTACCTCTGGACACACATGGTTTTAGTAATACGCGCACGCACACGTACACACACAGCAGACATATGGTTCTATTTTACTCACGGTGTGGCCAATGATCTAACCGGTCCTTATAAGGCCTGTCTGGTGCCACTTATTCTGAGCTGGAGGAGGAGAACACACACACACACACACACACAGTCCTCATTGACTACTCTGTGCTTGGGCAGAGGGCATGACTGAGGAGTGGGTCCGGCCTCTGGCAAAGGAAAAAATAAATGAGCGATGGAGGAAGTGAAAACGACAAAGAAAGCCACAAAATTAGATTTAGATCGCTTTCAACTTCTTCTGCGCGCTCAACAACAAGGAAGGAGGGGAAAGTTGTGATGAGAGCTGTGATGTAGGTCTGACCGTGGGACAGCTTCGGTATCGGCTGTTGCCTGGTGGCAAAGTGGGTCAAAGTCCCCGTAAGTGAAGGCCTGCACTCCACCAAGCCACTAAACACAGACTGCTGTGCGGTGGCTTTCATCCCCCTCAGCCCGCCTGCCCGATTCCTCCATCTCCCTCCCTCCCCCAGTCACTTATCCCAATTTATTTCCCTTTTTTTCCCCCTGCGCTGCTTTGTTTATGTTCCAAGGCAGGGCCGACCTATACGAGTCTGACGGGAGGGGCAGCAGGACCAAAAGCAAAGGATGATAGTTAGACGAGAATACGGCAGACGTGGAGGAAAGGCAGAGGATAAACTGTCTGTCGAGCCTAGCCTGTAAGTGTGTGTGTGTGTGTGTGTGTGTGTGTGTGGGGGAGGAGGGTGGGTTCTAGTGGGGTACTTTCCCCATTGAAGGAAGAGAGGAAGTGGGCATTAAATCAGAGGAACGGGGCGAGGAGATGGGGAGGCAGAGGTGTTGAGCGCAGAGGTTTAGGCCAAAAGGCCAAACGTTTTGCTTCCTGGTATGTCTGTCAGGGTCACAAGCCGTCTCCTCTCGCCTCCACTTTAGAACATTCTGTCCATGTTTCCAGATGCTGCTGGCTGGGTTGTCTGGTGTCCAGCTGGCAGGCGAGGGGCAGCTGTTTGCAGCGCTTCAACACATTCACTCAAAGACCAACTCACGGACATACACACAAAAACTCACTAACCCTTAGATCCTGTCAATGAATGCAAGGAAAACAAAACTCCCGTAAAACTTTCTTGCCCTCATCGCTGACTCTTTTTCTGATTAATGAAACTGTGAGTCAATTTGCTGAAGTCATAAACTGCGTGGCCTAAATCAAAAAAGGCTCTCAAGCTGTGAAAAAAATGTGGAAAACTACTTATTTCGCTTTATTTACGACAGTGTAGACCCAAAGTATATAAATATAAATGCATCAATATCAAAACATCAGCCTAGATGATGAGACAGATGTCACTGTGAGCAAAAAAACTAATGAATATAGAACATAAACGTGAAAAAAATTGTGCCAAATGCAGAAAAAAACTAAAGAGGATCAAATAAAACCGAGCACACACTTACTACTGTACATGTGTCTTCATTGGCCTTTTGTAAAAAAGTTGTGTAGACTCGTGTAGTTCAATGAAGCCAACAACGTTAAAGCGCCATCAGGGCTATCGGCTTCTTTTCGTCATTGGCCACTAAACTCCAAATACTGGTCTGCAGGCGAGCTGCACTCACTCCCTCCCTACGTGCGGTTTCTATGAATAAGAGTTATGGAATATGCTTGTTTTTTGTGTATTCATACATCTCGTTCCTTCAACTTACATTGAACTTTGGACTGATTGAGGTTGAATTATCTTTTCTTCTATGTCTATGTCTAAGACAACATTAATAAACTGCTCACTACTGCATCAATAATCGCATCGCTTTGAGCCGCGTGCTAAAGTCAGCATGCTACGAGACTCCCCCATGCGAACACTCTGATGCCAAGCAGGCTGTGGGAACAGGGTGAGTACATGCAAAGAGCAGATTTACTGATGGAAATCAGGCTTTTGAACATGTTGTGAAATTTCCATCCAAGTACTGCTGTATAAATTGACAGAACGCGTACGTGCATTTTCAAAGCCTTGAATCTACTCAAGGTTTATTTTGCATTTGGCCCTGAGCAATCAGGCGGTGTATGCAGGACTGTAGTGCCATTAATTTCATGCAAAAGGGCAACGTTCCAAATACACTGATGGAACAAGTGCAACAGAAAGAGCAGAGAGCACAATAATGAAGTACGTCGGCAGTTAAGCCTCCGACGCCATCGAGACAAGCAACAGCAGTCGCTCCGACAGCACAAAGTTGGCTGAGAAAAGATCCGCAGGGAAATGAGTCATTTGGCTCGACCCTCTGCACCATAAGCTGACAGCCACTTCATATTTTGCTCCCTATATTACCTCTTCACTGTTGTCTCTGCTGCGACACTCCGGGCCACACGGCCATGACAACAGAGAGGGGGTTCCACGAGCCAGTAGTCAGAACAGAGTTTTATTTGACTCATAGAATACAGTGGCGTGTGGAGTCAGTGGTGGAGGTGAGTGCATGAGTGTGTGTGTGTGTGTGTGTGTGTGTGTGTGTGTGTGTGTGTGTGTGTTTGAGTGTTCAGGCAGGTGAAGACCCAAATAGCAAACCGGGTGTCTCAAGGCGGACGGAGAGAGAGAGAGAGAGAGAGAGAGAGAGAGAGAGAGAGAGAGAGAGAGAGAGAGAGAGAGAGAGACACCACCTGAGGCCGGGGGGGCCTTTTAACAGAGTGCACTGGCACACGAAGCCCATGTGTTGCCAGTGCTGCTGATTGTCTCGGGCGTTTCTCGCGCTGCCCTTTGTGCTGCTTCTCAATTTGCATCAGTTTCATGTTTACTGACATGAAAAAATTAATACGCAAATTACCACCCAAACAAAAGTCCATAAATTCTAATTATTTCCTAATTTTGTGATCATTTTTATTTTTTATTTTAACTGTGAAACATCAAAAGAAACAGTTTCACAGGTTCTTTTATTATTTTTTTTTTTTACGTGATAAAAACTTGAAAAGGCAAAATTAGCTTTTGGGTACATATTTGAATTACATAATAACATTAAATGCAAACAAACCAACTAGCATCTCATTGCAGCATCGTGTTCTGGAAGGGTTTTAATTCAAAATGTCGGAACAAACGCACACGCTTCCGTGCACACACAATGGCTGCTTATATCTAAATGGAAGGAATAACATCCAATCACCGGCCTTCACTTCTTCCGTGGGAAGTAACAACAGCTTTGTCAAGTTGCTTTGACAAGCGCCTGTGTTCAGCTTGAAATCGATCAGTTTTGAAGGGCTACTCCCAAAACATCCATAGAAACTTTTCAAACCACTCCTGTATCTTAAAACACTTTTCTACGGCACAGCAAAGTGTGGTTAAATCATCAAAGCCATGATGCTCTTCCTTATGTATTTAGCAATATATATATACATTGCGTCAATGTATGCCTGTTTGGAACATACAGAGCATTATGTTGGACCACAGAGCGGTAGATTATCACGCTAAAGTGAGTTTGATATTTTTACCGTCTGAATACACTGAATCAAGATGAATTCTGGTTGAAGGACACATCTGGCAATGCTTCGGCTATGTAAGTGTTGTCCACATGTGTCAGCGGCCAGTTGTGCTAGTGTGAGGGAGATGACAGAAGAGTTACAATGCTAAAAAACAACCAACAGTTTAAGAGACCATTAAAAGCAAAAGACCAATGCGCACACACACACACACACACACACACACACACACACACACACACACACACACACACACACACACACCTGGCAAAAGTGAGTTCCTTCTTCAGTCTGCTGTGAAACCTCTTAAATGAGTTAATAATGAACTGAAGAGATTTCTGTTACCAGCAGTTAAAAATGACTAAGTGCATAGACACACACACACACACACACACACACACACACACACACATACACACAGGCTCTTGGAGGAGGAGAGCATGGGAGTTTGTCTTCTCCTCTCCCTGTTTCTTCCCCCTGGAATGTCTGTGCTTTTCAGGGTGATGTCATGAGTTACTATTACCATGGTAACACAACAAATTCTCCCTCGGATATGTCCGGTAGATTCAATCTTTCCTTTCCAATTGCATTGGTGTGTGTGTGTTGCTGCATGGATGATAATAACCTCTGGAAAAGGAGAGGAGCGGAGGTAGGAAAGGGCCGTGAAGCCTCAGCACTGAGCGCAAAGACAAATCTGCCCCCTGTTAAAAGACGCGTCTCATAAGAGCGTCGCCACGCGTGCTCGGTGGGTCTGCGTGTACCTGCCATTGTTACACCACACAGTTCTCCTGATACGATCACATGCGTATTTGCAGTTCAGGTAATAGGTGCAACATGAAAAAAAAAAGTGTGTTTGCAAACTAAACAGTTGCTTTTGCTTTTTGCTTGCAGACTGAAGGTCAGGAGCCTGAGTCTGAGTCTGCTGATTCAGGTCTTACAGTACAGAGATCATCCTGACAAATGCAGCACACCTATTGTGTTTGCATGCTATTCAAAATAAAATCAATCTCTAATGCAATATTATGAAAAATGTCCTTCAACTCTGACACTGTGTCTCTTTTCCATTTGACTCAACTGATCTCAATGCACACGGTATTTGTGTGTGAAGGCTTTCATAAATGTGTATTTTATTGCTTCTATAACCTGCGATCAAAAGATTTAAAGGGAAATCACAGCACTGTAAGTTGAATTTCACATTAAATGCCCTTCCTTCTGTCCTAGGAAGGACACAGCCCCGCAATAGGTTGTGTTACAGGCGTCGGCACACTTAACGATGGTTGCAGAGGCTTAAAAAAAACAGTGCAATCCACAAGCATTTCCCAGAAGTAATTTCGGAATTGCATAAACTGTCCATATGAAGTGCTAAGAGATTTTTATGACGTGTGTGGGTTGGAACAGATGGCCCGGTGTGTAGTTGGAATGCTTTTCTCCAACTGCACTGTACTACGTTAACATACTTCACTTACACAGGAAGATTTCTCTTTTTTTCTTCAAATAAATGGTGTGTCTAAAACATTTTAATGTGAAGCTGGGAAGGAGCGCAGAGGAGAGGAGGAGACGCGGCACTGCTCTCTCTTCATGTCAGGTCCCTTTTATGTAAATTGGATGAATTGTTCCGGATTCACTTATTTGTGTTACCGTCTAACCTTTACAAGCTTCATCAGATTCATTTCTGTTGCTTTTCACTGAAGGAAAAACGGTGTAACAAACAGTAGTGTGGTTTCCTACAATGGGTGACTTTAAACAGAATACAATACCAGACCACAGAGCAAAAAAATTCAAAATCAGAGTCATGCGGCTCAGATTGGAGTACTAAGTAGTTTCTTATATTTGATAAAAGGAAGTACTTCTTGTAATCATGAACCATGGTTTTTCTTATAGGAAAAATACCTTCAGAGTGGCATTTAGCCTCTAATAATGTCATAAGATTACACAACGCTGTCTTTGAAGTTTACAAGGACAACATAATATGATAATATAATACAACATTACTGCTGAGTAGAATGCAGTAAATCCATCAAGCCTCTCTGTCACCATCTCACAAGCACAACCATACGGGTGAAAAGTCACCGCCTTCATTTCACCAAAGAAAAAGCCTCTGATGAAATTACATGAACCTGCGACGCATTAAAATGTGATATTAACTATTAGATTTTTTTTGTAGATTAACGTAATGTTATTTGATTTTATTCACACATATTAGTAAAATGCATTATTTTTTCGGTCTCAAATGCGTGTAGAGGGAATATTTTTGTCTATTGTGATCCTTAACAGATAGATGTTGCCTCTAGTTACAAGGGCAATTGTGTGGTGGCGTGTGGGTGACTTTTTCATAAATAGTTAATGAAAAACTAATGAACAGATTTATTAATGATGCGATATTAATAGTGTACAGTATTCGCTTCATCTCCCACCCTCTCCACCCTCGTATGGTGGTCGGGTGTGCGGGACCCCTTTTCATTTTTTATCCAAACAAAACAAACAAAAATAATGCAATTAATTTCAAACTCCGACGTAGAACACACTGTATATCCGACCACATTTTCATCAACCGCACACCGTAACCCCCCCACCAAACATCTATATCACAAATAAATGTGTGGAAATTGTCCTGTGTACCTTCAGTCTCACAGGGCTACACCTGATGGAGGACGCCCTGATACAAATCAACGGACCCACAACCCCATTGGAACACCACACATGATGGTATCACGCAGCTGCTAGCATTGTGAACCCAAGCAGGAGTACCGGAGTCCGTGTGCGGTGAAAACGCACAGCATTCTCAACCACAAGACACTGAGTGAGTGAGTGAGTCAAATGTCAAACGTCGGGTCGTGACTTGCACCCCCATGTTGTGACATTGACACACACTATCTTCACAAGAACCCACACTCTCGGCCCCCCACTGACAGCCTATTATTAATTAACAGCATCTTCCCCAGTTGATGTGGAAAGAACATTTGACAAACCAAGTGCAGATCCACAGTTTGTTTACTCCTCCGAGACCTGGAAAGAACTGTGCCAATAACCAACTGGACTGAAATCCAATTCTGTCACCAAATGTTCACATTTGTGTAAATGAAAGCTAAAGAATAGTGGCTTGAATTACTGCTTCAAGTTCTAGGCCACATCTCTTTCCCGGTAGTGAGACCGATAACAGCTTGACACCATTTCCTTTCATGGTAGCCCTGATGAGGCGGGAAAGTTCACTCAGTAGAAGGTTATAAAGATATCTTTAAATTGGAATCTCTAACACATTACACATTTCAGACAGAATCCCCCTCTGCCGTATTAATCCCTGGACGTCAACTTTATTAGTATTCTTTAAATAGCGAGTGGCGAGACGGGCCTGTGCATGCTGGGAGCAGACAAGAGGGCAGTAATGTTCACAGCGAGTCTACATATGGCTTCTGCTGGTACAGTTGGACCGGGGAGGTTGATCTGTACAATTATGGCTCCGATAGAGTCAGACGTGATTAGAGACAGAGCCTGCAGCAAAGTCTGCCTCTAATTAGCAGGGCACATAACAGAGCACTCTTCCTCTCTTGTGTAAATATGATGACTAAATGTCGAGTGCTATTAAGGAAGCTCGTTGAGATGCGGGGAAAAGGTTCAAATACAAACCAAATAATAACAAATATTCACACATGCTTTTAGATGTAAAGAGTTTCTGCTGAAACGCACTATTTTATCTGCTTTACACCCAATTAAATGAGGACATGTCCGATTAAGGGTAAATATTTAACTTAAATAAAAAAAGGTAGTGAAAGAGGAAATACTAAATATTTGATAACATATGTCTTCCGTTAGTGCAGAACAGAATGTCCTCGCTGCAGCAGCACCAGAGGCTGAAGACTGATCTGCACCACAAACGGCAGCTCCACTTCTCTGGTGACCAACTCAACAGAAACCAAACTAAAACACACACACACACACACAGCGTCACACCAAGTCTGGCCTTCGACAGAATATAAATAATCTGTAAGAAGAATGTCCTACTCTTCCTTCATTATTATACCACGTTTGCATCCAAATATTGTGCACATTTTTAGAACTATTATTTATTTATTTGTCAGACTTTACTTTTTAACCTACATTAGTGCGCACGTCCTGTGCAGGTTTTTCAAGGCCATTTTAATTGAACCGCCACATCTGTCAGAGAGTACATGCATGGCTGCCAATTATTTCCGCTTTTAATCAATTAATCATTAATCACATGATATGTGTAGTATCCCAATGCATTCCAAAGCACAACGATTACCTTTATAAAAATGCATTAAAGCAATAACATATAACAGATTTGTGTTTGTGGGGCTGAAGATGTTAATACCAGCAAAATGCTAATAATTGATAATAGATACTATAGCTATACTATAGTATCTATTATATTAAATAGCTACTTTATATAAAACAGCTTGTTTATTTTCTGTCAAACAACCAATGACCCAATTTGGGCTTCAGGCATGACAACAACATTTAGAGCACAAACAAAAATTTCAATAACTATTATTGTGGATGATGCAAACAACACGTCAATGAAGCCCAAAAAATATTAATTTGAAAAAAAAAACAAAAACACAAAGCTACGGCAGTAAAAAAATTAATTAATTAAACTTTAAATGTGTTCCAACGCTCCCCACCATGGCGTGTTGTTCACACGCAGTCACCACTGTACTCACAGCACGTTGGTGGCCTGCGGGACCTCCGCCGCCGCCGGGGCCCTCTCCAGCCCGACGTTGGAGCAATTGACGACGCAGGACGGCTGGGGCCCCACCGGCGCGCAGCTGCAGTTGACGGGACAGGGGTAGCAGCTCCTGGCGCCGTCCCCCTGCGGCCCGGAGCCCCACGCGCCCAGGCAGCAGAGCGCCGCCAGCAGGCTGCAGAAGAAGCCGGACGGTCCCGGGACGCAGACGCCATGTTTTCGCTTGGATAAAGTCTGTCCATTTCCACAAGGCATAGCTCACTCACATCTCATCGCCTCTGATGGTGTAAGTCCTCTCAGCCTGGGAAGGGGCGAACCACTCGGGGACAAAGGCCAAACACTCGTTTGCTCTTGGCTTTCTTGCGAGGGGGACAAAGAGAGAGAAGGGGACGAATAAGACGCCGTTATCGCCCCTGCGTTTTCCTCTCTTCCGCTGATCCGATCCTCTTCTTCCGAAAGTCTAACGGGACCTTCTTCAGAATCGTTTCGGGCAGAGAAAAAAAAAGAAGAAAAAAGTTAGTGAGAACTTCCTCTCTCCTCCTCTTTCCACTTGCTGCAGTTCTTGGAGACGCCGCTGCGCGCGCGTTCTCTTCCAGAAGTAAAAGCACGTTGTCTCCAACACAGCGGACACGTTCAATTCAATAATTAGACAAAGCATTTCAAACATGTAATTGGTGTTAATTATTAAACAAGTGCTACTTGATTATATACTATTATTTATGCTCGACACTCGTTTAACATAGTTCTTGGGTTAACAGGTTGGTGCTTCTTTGTCACTTGTCACTTTGTCTCTTGTCTGTTACTTGTTTGTTAGTGCACTTTATGCTTAATACTTTTCTTTTTAACTTTTTAATATTTAAAATTTGTTTAACTTTATTCCCTTGTTTTTTTTACTAACCCATAGCCTTAGCCTTATTCTTACTAACCCATTGCATTAGCATTTCTCTCCACTTTGTTTTATTACCTGTGCACTGTTGTCTTGTCTGTCTACTGTCGCGCACTAACCGCCAAGACAAATTCCTTGTATGTTTGACATATTTTGGCCAATAAATGTTTCCTGATTCCTGATTCCTGATATATTTTGTGAGGAATATGTAGCAATTTGATACAAGTCTGGTGGGACGTGCAAAAAAAACAACGGCCCTTTGACATTTCAACTGACATGAAACAGTAATGGCAACATGTCCTCTGCCAAATTAGCACTTAATTACAAATCAATGAAATTAGGAATTTCCTTAATAGGATTCAGGGAGGCTGAGGATCTGGGGCTACTTGGGTTGTTTTTCCCAGTTGATTATCCAGCCTTCCACACGGTGCAAAATTCGATTAATTAATTCAGTCAATCACTGGCAGTGCTCACAACCCACCCAGTGTTGACTTAAAAAACATGAGATAATAATGGGCCTGTTCAGCTCCAGGTTGGTGCAAACTGCAGAAAGTCCATAACATTAAAGATAGAGAAATGAAACAGAGTCTTCCTGGACTTCAAATCGGAGGCATTTCTTGGTTTCAAATGATAAACTAACAACTGAGGCTGTACATTTTTGACGTGACTTCCCCATCATTTTATCACAATAACCAAATTGAATATGTTACAGTATTCACTATCCCATAGTTGCTGTCCCCAGAGGGGCTTTGGAGGAGGCGATGCAGGTTGTTCAGGCCTGCCGCTGGGTGTTTTGTGCTATAAAACTCACAATGGGGTTGAATCAAGCCAAGGTAGTAGCTCTCTAAACTCTATCAAATCAACTTATTTCACTTTAGTGTGAAAATACGTTTAGACAGCAGCGTGGGCTGATCAGTGCGTGTGCATGCGTGTCTGCGTTTCCTTATCTCTGCAGAAGAGGAGCTACATGTACAGGAAAGTTATTCTATTACCGCCTCCACTAGATAGATTCTGAAATGATATAAAAGAGAAAGAAACCTTCTCAGGAGTCAGAGATCACTATTCATTCCTTTTCTTCAGGCAGAGATAGATGATTGCTCTCCTTCACCCACAGAGACGGGACTTAGGTGTGAAAAATGAAACGGATCTTCTGGGATTTGATTTGTGAAATTTTGGTTGTAAAACTTCTTTAACATTTGAGCCTCTCCCAGCCTCCCTTCTCTCTGAAGCAGTGCAGGGCACGTGTTGGAGGTGTTTCCCGTGTGTTTGGGTTGGCTCGGCCGCAGCCATCCTCGCAGCAGGCATCTGCTGCTCCGTACAAAGAAAAGAAGAGTCCCGCAATAACTCTCGCCCTCCCTTATTCTTATTGGCAGCTTTTCATTTCAAAGTTCTTGCATACTTGAGAAGCAAAACATGTGAATGGAAGAGGATCAAGTTGTTCAGCCCAAATAACTCAAATTCTTCACTGAAATGATATGACACTGTAATGAATTTAGACTATTTTTATAACTTAAGATTGTAATGTTTTCTTTCTCCTTCAAGCTTGTTAAATACAGAAACAGAAAAGAGAATTGTAACCAGATATGTGAAAATGTAATGAATCAAGGGAAAAGATCCCGAACTCACACCAGTTCAACAATGACGTTTGAAATACTTTTTCGATTGGGTCCATAATTACCGTCTCAAAGGGCTTCACGAGGCCGCATTTGATAAAGACACAAAATGATAATTATCACATGAGTGCTCCCTGAAGAGACACATTCAGTTTCTGCTCTGATTGGTTTGCTCTCGTAATATTTAATAAAATCATCTGTCTCCCAGAACATAATAAGATATCAATTCTGCTCCTGAAATGACGTTTAGCAGGTACAAAGATTAAAGTTGATTAAAGAATTAAACGCGTACAGCTGATGCTCTGAAACACTTGATTTCACAGGTCTATGATTTCCCAATGATTTCAAATGAAAAGAAATGTGATTTGATACGAATCATGAGGATTCTTTTTTTACAGTTGGATGTGTTGAGTTCAAAAGCTGTTATATATATATATATATATATATATAATATTTTTCAATGAACAAGGATGATTCATACTCGAACATTTATGTATGTTTCAGAGGAACCTTTTAAAGACACATCATCCGATCTGCTTCGCACCGAGTCAAAGACTGTCAACAATTAATCGGAATCGCTTACTTATTTCAATTTAGCAATTGAAAACGACCCCATTATCCTTGTTGCAAATGACATTGACCTTTCCAGAAAGTTTGGATTTACAGATAAATATCGATCAAATCTTTCAAAGACAATTGTATTAAAAAGTGTGTTGGTGGCACAGAATAGACAGGAACCCTCAAGCGCCTTTTTCAGACAGCAAGTTCCAGATCTTTAGTGTGACAAACAGGCAAAAGGTCAAAAGCAGGTGGGCTTGAGAGGAGACGCGAGCGGGTGAGAAATCGGGGCTCGGGGGAACGAGGCAGGCGAGTACAAGCGAAGTAGAAAAACGTAATGTCATGCAGCAAAGTTTTGGCGAGATGGTTTATACTTCTGGCGAGAGGTCAGGCAGGACTGATTATTTTGCAGATTTATGGTTATGGTTAAGTAGTTTTGGACACATTGAACTCTTTTTTTTGACACACAAGAAAACTAAATGGACCAAATTTAATAAAGTCCATCGAGGGATCCATCCCAAAGATAAAAAAAGAAAGTAATTGCTAGCGAGGCAAAAATTATAGCAATGAGTTATTTAAGTCTTGGTTGCAGATACTTTTTGGTGTAAATTCTGATATTTTGTGTATAAGATATTTTACCTAAACAGCCTTTATTCTTCTTTCACCACTTCATCCAAATGCATGAAACGTCGTATTTAGCATTTGTCCGGTCCAGGGCGAAGGTAAAATGAGCTCGGCTCCTGTTTGGTTATGGGGAGGGTCCTTCATCCCGGCAAGGAAAACAGCACTTACTGAGGCCTCCGTCTGTGTTATTGTAGGGCTACAGGAAGAGGGGGGGGGGGGGGGGGGGGCTGAAGGACAGAAGGAATTGACGTGGCAGAGGAGGTGTTGGCGATGGTGAAAAACGGAGGGGGTGATGCAACAGTGAATAGAAGCTTGTATCCGTGGTGTTATTATTATTCATAATAACCCTCACATCTACTTTGTCAAATGTTTTTTTGTAGAAATATTGCTGTGTATTTGTTGTCTTGTTAATTCTTTCCAAGTTTAACCACCAAAAACTTTTTTAAAAACATGTATCCAGATTCTGTGAATGTAAAACTCTAGAGAAGGTTTGGTTCGGAGTTGGCGGCGAGAGCATTGCCAGTCCCTGCGACACGACAACAAGCATAGAGAAAATAAAGATAATTCGTTCAGCCTCGCACTGATCTGGAGGTAAAAATATCCACAATGCACCAAGGCCAAAAAACTGTGCAGTCACATGAATGTCTGAATTTGATGATTGGAAATGATCACGCTGAGTAGATGTTTCGACTATAAGATAATTGGATTTATTCTTAGTATGGTCAACAGGTTTTGTTTGACTTAGTTATTACTCCAACATATTCAATTCACATTTTGAGCGGGAGAGGACCTCGTGTTTTCACTGACACTGATTATTTTCATGCTCTTCTTTCTGTGGCTATAACCGTGTCTTATTCTCTTTGACATACACACTGGCCACAGGACAATAACGTCCTCCGACAGGCTGGTAAGGTCAACCGATGGGCTTTGTGATAGCTTCACTACAGGGGATTGTCCTGGAGATGGGCATGAACCTTCCCTTCTTTACCCAACTGACACCCAGATACTATAACCGAAGAACGTGTGTGTCTATCTCACTGCGGATTTGTTCAGGTGAGTGTGTGTGTGAGTGTGTGTGTGCACACGCGTTTGGTAGTGCAACCATGTTACCTGCAGAGAAGGAAGATCAAAAACAGGTTGGATGGTGCAAAGAATAAATGTTATGATCATAGAAGCGTATGAGCATCACGATGCTTTCTGCTGCTCTGCTGTCCAAATGTGTGTGTGTGTGTGTGTGTGTGTGTGTAAGTGAGAGTGTGCAGAGAGAAAACTATGGGTACAAATATTCTTTTAGACATTTTTCTAACAGGCATTTGGGAGGAGACACGCATCTTCCATAAAAAAATCAAATGGATAGTTTGAGAGAAAGAAATACATTTTAAAAGCTTTAAAAGAACGCAGCGCCTCACCTCCTTTATGAGGTAAAATACATCATATCACAGGACGCTGTCTGATGCGTTGTTGAAACAGTTACATGAGCACTCCATGTGAATTGGGTTGTGTGACAGCAGCACGCAATGAAATGCTTCTCCCACCTGCTGGTGAACCATGAGTTTGAATTATTTACTTTGCAAAAAGTACAAATAATATAAGCGATTGAACAAATCCACCTGCTTCTGCGTTCCTGTGCACGGAAAGCTCAGTCAAATATCTCAAAAAAGAGAATAACTTTGAGGTTGCATTAGAATTCGTACGTAGCATGCTTGAGCCTTCAGTTCAAGCAATTTACCAGAAATTTTAATGCCAACTTAATGCTGAAAGCATCGTGACGGGCTTAAAATGTCCACATTACACATTTCTGTCTTTCTCTTATAGAATGTGGCAACGGAAGTTATGTTGTGGCAAAACAAGTGTCAACTTGACCTTTATTTCAACACACATTATTCATGTCAAGGAGAACATTCTCTGAGTGATGTCCATGCACTTTAATTGCTTAGCTCCATGTTCATGTACCCTGCGGTGTAAAAGACTAGACACGACCTTCCTCATTCCAGCATTCTGAACCATTTCTCATGGAAATTGTCTGCCCACTATTGATTTAGCACATAAAAAAAGGAAATAAAATAATAGAGCTACGAATGTTTTCTCTTGGTAGGTGTCCCAGTGGCCCCTTGTTTTCCAGCCCTGCTGGTATTCGACCAATTTCCAGATGGCTGATTCTTCACTATAATGGAATGTGGCAGCGAGCACGACTCGCGCTCTTGATGAGTGTACGGGGGGCACGGCAGTGGCACAGACAAAAGAAACAAAGCACTGCCACTCACAGATAAAGGTTCTTCTTGTTCGTATTTGTCTGCAATAAACAATAAGAATTCCCTCGTGTCTCTTAGGTGAGGTGGTAGTAAAGGGACAGAGCATATTAAAGGCATACTGGGCAAAGACAATTCGTTTTGATTTCTGTTCTGTGCTTTGTGGTAAAAACAAAATGCCAAAATAATATTCTAGTTAAAAACAAAACTGATAATTGCTTTTGCAATCTAACAATGGTTAAATAATTTTGAAAAATTCTACTACAGTTTACAGTCCTACCTTTGTTTATGTTGGAGATGCAGCAATCTTCGGAATACGTCTCAGTAGGGGGGAGACGTCCTTTGGACTGGAATGGAATGACCGTGTTCGCATCACTGAACAGATGCTCATCATTGGCAGTGGTGATTGATTGATTGATTGATTTATTATTTAGGAGTCCTAGAGAAGAACCATGGGTATGTGGAGCATTTTATATATTTTTTTACCTAATGCCGAGAAAGGGAGTGAGAAAAGGGACATTAGGTTGATTGCAATCAGCAACCTCACCAAGATGCTACTGAATCTTGCGCCCCCTTTAAATCACCGTTGGCTGGAGTTTGTAACTGTAAACATATCCTAATGTTTATTATGATCATGTTATCCTAGAAATTATTAACATAAAAAATTAAATGAGCACAAATGTACTAGACCAGCAGAAAAAGTGAGGCATGAAAAGGTACACAACAGAATTTAAAATGGTTAAGAAAATTTCCAAATCCCAATTGTGTCCATTGAGAACTGTTCCACTACGTAATAAAACTCCCATCAGAACCCCAATTCTCTAATGAAGCAGATGGATGGATGAATCTCCCCCCCCCCCCTCTCTCTCTAGTGGCACGACGCGCAAAGAAAGTTGAAGGACGAAGGAGAAGCTGAGCTGCTGCTGAGAAAACATGCTCAGCACCACGGACAGCGATCAATTGGGAACTCGTGACACAAGCAACCTGTCGATATCGGAGAAACTTGAGAGAATCAGAAGGCGCAACTGAAAAGGAGGAATTTGAATCGGGTAAACTTCCTACTTTTTTCACTGCTTTCCAAGTAAGCGCGTCCTCGTCTTCTCGTCTCTCTGTAAATCATTAGAGCGTAAGTGTGATTCACGAATGCAGCTTTGAAATGAGAGTTTTATATTGGGAGAATGACGACGAGCTGATATCCTACTCATGCAATCATAACCTACACCAAGAGTATCACCTAATTCTTTAAAAAGCGGAAATTATCATACAGCTTGGAGTAAAACCCATCTGCTGTGCGTAAACGCCGGCGCACTGTTCCTGCTCGCGCAACACATTGGATGTGTGTTTACTGACTTTGACTTTAATATGTAAAGACCAGGATCAGTGTTTCGTTACAGTAATTGCGAACAACAACAGCTTGTTGAACATTTGTTAAAATGTAGGATACGTGACCACAGATATTTGTGTTCAGAGTTGGCTCATTACGCGCCGTTTACGCCGAAAAGACACGGCTTGTTGTCCGGACGCACGCTTTCTCACTTGGGTACGCGGGCACACACTTTAATGAAACTCTAAATTAGATATAGATTAACTTTCTACGTTCTTGTGTCTGTTTTCTTCTGATACCTTGCGGTTGATGGGGATTCTCCTCCTCTGATCCAAATGAAGAATGGAATAAACCAGCATGGCAGAGGTAAAGTTTCTCTTGTAAATCACTGAAAACAGCAGTGGGGGAGAATCTGCATCTGGAACCACACAATGGATCCCCTGGAACTCAACTCATCCTCTGCAGCCACTCCCTTGTCCTTCCTCTTTTCCCTCCCCCTCCTCTTCAACATCTCCTCCAACCTGTCAACCCAAAGCCTCCCCTTTCAGGGCAGCAGCACCCTGATGACGGCAGTCGTCTCCCTCTCCGTCTTCGTGGTGGGTCTGACTGGCAACACTCTGGCCATCTACGTGGTGCTGCGCCACGCCAAAATGAAGACAGTCACCAACATCTACATCCTAAACCTGGCCGTGGCCGATGAGCTCTACATCATCGGGCTCCCCTTCCTCACCACGCAGAACGTGCTCTCCTATTGGCCGTTTGGCTCCTTCCTTTGCCGGGTTGTCATGACAGCAGACTCTATGAACCAGTTCACGTCTATTTTCTGCCTGACCATCATGTCGATCGATCGTTACTTGGCTGTGGTTCATCCAATCAGCAGCACCAAGTGGAGACACCCCCGAGTGGCCAAGGTGGTGAGCGCTGCCGTGTGGGTCGTGTCATTCGTGGTGGTTCTGCCTGTGGTCATCTTCTCTGACGTTCAGGTATAAATGATTATTATTATTATTATTATGGTTGCGATACTTTTGATTTAAAAGCAAATTAGCTTCAATTAGTAGCTGCCCCTGATAAAAAAGCAGTCATTTTCAATCAGCCAAGTCAAAAGCGTTCAGCTCATTCTTTTAAATGTCCATTGATGGCATTTATCTAAAAAGGTAGTCTTAGATTATTTAGTAGAAATTTTGTATTTTTATCCTAATTGTCTGTATCCATATTAGTCTTTAAATATATAAGGTAAAAATAGAGCTTGACTGCTCAAGACCTTTGATCTGAAAACAATGGAGGACAAGTTTCCTGCTGGTTTGATACAAACTAAGCGCACACGGCAGTATTTTTAAATGTCTGTAATGATTGAAGTTCACAATCAGAACCTCTTCTTGCATAAATTAAGCAGATTATGGTTGAATCCTTAAGTGGTTTCATTTCCATTTAGGACACGTTTAATTCCTGCAACATGAACTGGCCAGAGCCAAAGCACGTGTGGTCGACGGCCTTCATTCTCTACACTGCCACGGTGGGCTTCTTCGGGCCGCTGCTCATCATTTGCCTCTGCTACCTGCTTATTGTTATCAAGGTCTGAGCATGTGTGTGTGTGTGTGTGTGTGTGTGTGTGTGTGTGTGTGTGTGTGTGTGTGTATACGACTTGATGACAAAATCTGTGTGTGACGACAAGTACCGGAAACTACATCAGCATAATGACCGTTTCACCTCGGCGTCCCTCATTTTCCTCGTTATCACCCACAACGTATTCATTGTCCTCACCACCATCACTGTGGCGTAGATTAAGTCCTCGGGGGCGCGTGCAGGCTTCACCAAGCGCCGGCGGTCAGAGCGCAAGGTGACGAGGATGGTGGTGGTCATCGTGGTGGTGTTTGTGCTCTGCTGGCTGCCCTTCTTCATCATCAACATCGTCAACCTGGTGGTCATCATCCCGGAGTCCAGTGTCACTGCCGGAATCTACTTCTTCGCCGTCATCCTGTCGTACGCCAACTCCTGTGCCAACCCGGTGCTCTACGGCTTCCTGTCGGACAACTTCAGACAGAGCTTCAGAAAAGTAGGTTTTATCCTGTGGGTATTAAGACAGCGTGAAGGGGAAGGCTGCAGAAGCATTTGTCATTTTATAAAATGTGCCAATTTGCTGTCATGTAGGATGAAAAGATTAACACCACTGTAATTTATACATGTAATTTCCTTCCACGTGATATTGCAGGCAGCAGTCGTTTAGATTACTTTAGTATGAAGAGTAAATGCGGGGGGAAATAACTAGCCTGGCTCTGTCCAAATGCCAAATAATCTGCATGTGCCTTGTTAATTATAAATCCTCACATATAATGAAGCCAAAAATGGAGCCAATCAAACTGTTAATTTCTGTCACGTTGTGGGGGGGGTCATTTGATTGGAAACACATCTGAAAATGATTGGCTGGGCATAAAACACAATTAATAACTCATTCCAAACACAATTTAGTTAAAAGGAAGTTTAGTTTGGGGATATCTTACTTACTACCTTTACAATTTTAACAGTATTTATCCCGGAGCATCAAATCCACAAATTATTTATTACTTAATAGTATGAAGAGCAGGTATGAAAACAATATAACACATGAAACCATCTATGTAGCCTGGCTTACTTGCTGGGTTTATTAGCTAACAACAAAGCTAGCAACAAACTTGCTCCTTAAGGTAATTGTAACGCACCACAAGAGACCAGAGTGAACTCAAGCGCAGAGCGCAGTTTTATTAGCGGGGTACAGACAAGGATCAGGCGTGGTAGGGTCCGGTGAACAGGCAGGGGTCGAAAGCCGGGAGCGCGGAGGTAGGCAGAGGTACCGTCGAGGGTCAGGCAGGCGTGAACGAGGTCTGGGACAAAGGAGAGGTCAATAACAGGTAGGCAGAAACAGGATATCTAGAGACCGCTCAGAATGTGATGGCAACATGCACAAGACTTCGCACCGGCTTCTGAGACTTCGGCAGCTTAAATGCCCAACCTCTCCTGATGAGAGACGAGCCACAGGTGTGTTGGTGGGAGTGGCCGTGCCCGCTCAGTGAGCTGATCCTGAGTGGCACAAACCATTGTCACGTGCCACAGAGGGGGGACTGAGATCCCGAGCTTCGGACCTTAGTACTCCGGAGACGGGGAACGTCTGTTTGTGACAGTAATACAGCATGAAATGGAGGTTTAGCCATTCCGACCAGATCTGCTCACTGGCCCGTTTGTTACATGTTGTTTTCTCATCTGAACACGTGTGCAATGATCTGCATCACAGTGGCTGTAGATTTCTGATGCCGTCTCTACAGCCAATTGTTGCTGTGGCCCTGCAGGTGCTGTGTGTGAGGAGTGTGAGGTGCAAGACCAACGGTGTGAATGACGGCGACCCCAGCGCTCCGCGTACTGAGAAAAGCACAGCTCACGACTGCGTGGTTCTCTCCCCTCGAAACCAGGCCTACCGCGACCCCCAGAGCAGCCAGGTACTGCGTCTATATGTGTGTGTGTGTCTGTGGGAAAGCAAGCGGCAAAAGAAGAAAACAGAGGGATGTTGTAATAAAAAAATGTTTATGTTGAGTGTAGCGCTGACGGATTAAGATCCTTAGCCAATCCCACAGAGAACATCCTTTAATCATGCAAACACACCAGCATGATTAGATATTTTTCAAATGTAATCCAGGCTGGATGTAGTTAATTTATATTTCTGATCTAATTGCGTAACCCAATCCATCAACCACTGCACGAACACACACAGACACACAGAGAGCCACTCTTTGCATGCCCAATGAGTGTGATGCGTTAGGTTTGACATGAAGAGTGCAACAACTCAATGAATCAACCGGCCAGTGTGGGCAGCTAATTGAAGGGTGTAGAATGAACGGCGCTCTGGAATCTGAAGGCGGTAGTGAAAGATTATTTGATTACAGGAGTTTATGTGCGTGGGTCAGAAAGAGATCAAGGGTAAAGGAAGAAGCTTGAATTCAAGTTGCTGTTGTCTCTGGAGACTCGTACGGGAGCAGTGAGTCCGAGGATACTCTGCTAAAGCTCCTTTGTGTGCTTCAACGTGGTCAAAACTGCAAACAGCTCCATAAATCACAGTGTTTAATGGTGTGTTAGTGATGTACGGATCGCTGTTTTTTGAGTGTAACTTCCTGTTACGCCTCTTTGTTCTATTGTGACAAAAACACTAAGAAAGAAACGGCAAAGCGACACTGAGAAACACACGCACACACAAACTGCACCAAACGGACCGGTCGACCCCCAAAGAGTAAGATTCACATTTATGGTCACAATCATGCATGTTATGTCTCAGCTGGTCTCTGTTTATTCTCCCAACCAACCAAGGCTTCTTTCACATTCACCACCAGGTCCGGACTTCACGGCGGGATTTATCCAGCTGCTGCTCAAGGCAGATGTCCATCAATTACAAATCTCCCTGTAGAATTGGAGCGCAAAAGACTTTATCTTATTTCAATTACCAATCATGAACAATCGGCCTTATTTATCTTGTCTCTTCTGATTGAAATATCTTAGTGGAATTAACTTTAATCTCCCCATTACCTGTAAGACCTTTTTACTTTGGTTTATCTTCCTCCTCCCTGGCCCTCTTCTTCCTCTTTCTGAAGGTCTCTCCTCATCCTCCAGGCTCACCCATCTCGCACGCAGCAGCAGACCTGCACCGCCCCGCCCCTACAGGCCAACCTCCCGCCACTCGCCCAGGTGGACTGACCTCTGCCACGGTGGCCTCCACAGCAGCCCCCACCCTAATCTCCGTGGTTACTCTGGCATAACGCCACTTTTCTGAACACTCATTCCAAATGCATTGCAGCATTTATGATCAATTTTGGTGAAACAACCTCAAAATAGATATTTTGTCAATTCTTAATGTGTACTTCTAACTGCCCAAATCCCCCAGCTGTTGTGTGTCCATCTGAAGTGCCTTCTCAGCTGGAAAGAGGGACATTCAAACCCTGCTTCTCCCATCTTATGTTCATCTGTTGCACAAGATATTAGAAGGAATATACTTTTCAGGAACAAAACAGCTAGAGAATATTTTTGTCAGAAGTTTAAAACATGCATTATTAGGAACTATTTTGCAAGCATACGTTGTGATTGCTGTTTACCAGTAACGGTAAATGTGACTGTGCCCCCGCTCAGTGTTCTCCTGTCAATGTTTAGCCGGCTTTGAACACAGAACCTCTGACCTCGGTTTATTTGAGGCTCCTTGTTTACCGTTTGATGGAATCGATGTAAAGTGGCTCAAATGCTCTGTATTATAATGAAAATGTGTCCACCTTCAAGCTTTTATTATGAAAGGTCAGGTGTTGTTTCTGCAATTTGCCTGATGAAGACACATTATTGCTGAGTTTGATAGGAGGCAAGTGGGTTCAACCACACCCACGTCTTTCATACTCAACTCACCAAAGCTGAACTCCACGGCGATGTAAATTTTCTTTGAATAAAAATGAGTTAATTGGACAGTAACAGACTTTTAAAATATAAGGGCAACATAAGCGTATCTCTTTGCCACTGTACAAGCACACAAACACACTCACCTATCATTGTATGCAAGGATAATTCAAGTATTAACGCTTATTTACTTATTAACAACTTCTATTTTTTACATCAACACACAACTAGTGTGTTTATAATAGCAGTCATTATTTTATTGAGTACAGTTGTGGTCAAAAGTTTACATACACTTGTAAAGAACATAATGTCGTGGCTCTCTTGAGTTTCCCGTTATTTCTACAAGTCAGATTTTTCTCTGATAGAGTGATTGGAACAGATACTTCTTTGTCACAAAAAACATTCATGAAGTTTGGTTCTTTTATGACTTTATTATGGGTTAACAGAAAAAGTGATCAAATCTGCTGGGTCAAAAATATACATACAGCAACATGAATTACCCATTTTGATGACTTAGAAAGTTGTAAAACTGTAAAAGCTGACTGAAATCAATTAGTGTTCACGTTAATGGAACTAGTTTATGAGTAAAATGAGTTTTTTGTTCAGACACGCAGGAGTGAGAATAAATAGATAAAACTTGAATGATGGATGTTTTTCAGCATCATTTCTCTGTGGAATGAAACGGAAGATTAATCAGGGGGACACAGTGAAAGTGATGACAGAGAAACTTGCAAGAAAAAATGTAAATAGGATTTCCAATGTAAAAACAGAACATACTGTACATTTTACTAGATAATATATAGTTGTTCAGATGCGTCAGTGCTGTATGTGTGTTGGGTTTCTTTGGAATAAAATGGTGTGAACCTGGTAAGTGTTGTTTGTATGCTGTATACCTACACTGATATATATATAAGTTATAGTTTGACTTGTGTTGACTGTTCGTGAGTTTTCTTTCATTGATTTCATCAGTCCGGTGGGAACAAGGTGCACCCACACAGCTCCAATGAGTTGATGAGTTTTTGTGTGTTAAGTCCAAGTGAGATCTGCCCGCATGCTCCAAAAAATAAATAATATGAACAGGACAGACTTATCTCTGCTGATTTATCTCTGCTGCTGTTTCCAAAGATATAGATTTTACAATTTTCAGTGAGTTAAATACAGGAATATGCACAACATTGAAGACATTTAAAGTAACACACGTGTTGACAGTCTACAGCAGTCTTACTTATCCTTTCATGTTTGCATGTGCGTCGTGCTCTCTGGGAGACTTTGCTCAGTCGTCTCCTTCTCTTGCACCTGTTTCAAACACACATTGATCACCTTTATTTACGCTATTTTCTTTTTTGTTTGGTTAGCAGGACAAGGTCCTTGTGTTGGTATCTCTTTTGATAAAGCATTGATAAAGCTATTACCGTTTATTAGCTTTAATTGTTCCTGCTCACAAAGACACTTGGTTTGCACAGTTAGTGGGTGGTATAATTATGTCTTTGAATAAAGTGTCTGAACCGTCCTGATACCGGCAACGACTTGTGTGTGCGTGTGTGTGTGCCTGCATGTGTGTGCATGTGTTTGCGTGTTCAGGCGGTTGAAGACCACCTGGCAAGATTATGAGACTTTCGGACTGGACAGCGAGGTCCACCGGGGAGGGAAATGAGGAGCAGAGGTGTTGAAATGTGAAAGGCCACACTGTCGGCGGTCTGCATTCATTGCAGCTCCACAGCATCAGCTTCTCTCCTCTCCTCCTTTCTCACATCTTTGCTGCTCCTCTCAGCCCTCACGTCTGAATTTAGCGTCACGGCTTTCTCTTTCCTTTTCTGCAAAACAACAGTTTTATGTAGAACATATTTATGATAAATATCGTCTCACAGAGAGCACAAATTACATCAAAGGAAAGAAGAAAAAGGTCCTTATAAGAGGGTGTGTTTTTTCACACTCTTTCCAACTCACACGTGGTGCAAAGATTTACACTTCTCTCCCTACGTTTCACTGTGTGCTAACACTATAATGACCATCAGATGAACATCTGTATGAGCATCTGTGAGTGTTCCGCTAGACCTAGAAGATTTTCCCTGCCCGGTCTCTAATTACGACAACTCACTGCAGCAACAATTACACCCTGATTAAACAAGTCTTCCCTCCGACTCAACGAGATCCTCGGCCCTGCAGCAGCAGATTCACAGTGCTGCTCTGTGCCATCCTACGAGTACGCTCACTCTGAACCAGCTGTAACTCTCAATGATGGACAAAAGCATGCAGGTTTCAGAGTCTCGAGGGACTGAGGGTCCGTTATGGGTCCGTTAGCAGCAGGGGAGAAAAGATGACGGATCGAGCAACGTTTGAACGTGAATGTCAATCACGGTAAAACAAAGCGTCGCCATAACAGATTGTCCATCAGCTTGAGTGGATGAAAGCAGGGATCCTGGGAAATTAAGTTATGACATTACATGTCCCATCAGTGAAAAGAGTCTCTGGAACACCAGCGCGATTTCAACCTGCTGCTTTGCTAACAAATGTGCACACGGCTACACAGCATAGAGACAGAAAGGGCAAAATAACACACACACACACACACACACACACACAAAACATAGCCAAGAACAACAAGAACTGTCTTTCTATGAAAAAGACAAATAAATGATTTGGAAATGCCCTTCTGCACGTGAATGGACTATTGACTATTGGCTATTTCATGCGTTAGATATATTTTCATGGTGTAATTGTGTGTTTACGTGGTGAGACCGTATCTCCAAAACCATGAGCGGGTCCGTAATGATTTAGAAAGAAGATGTGCATTATCTGTGTCTTGTATTTTGTACTTTGTCAATTTGACACAGTGGTAAGTAGCCGGGGTTTTTGTAAAAAAAAAAAAAAGGCTTGTTAAAAAGCAAAGACACAGCTGGATCCTTTGAAGTTTGGCTAAATTGAGCCATGAAGAACCTCGACTGAGTCAAGATCTCACAGTGCAGATAGCATGTGTGGAAAACATCACCCCCATTGTCACAGGGGGACACCAGCAGAAAGGCAGGTTGTTGGTCTGAAGAAAAGGGCTTTCTTCATCCTCCAGACACATTTGAGAGGCAATGCTATTAAAGTTGCAGCTGCTGTGACTGCAGAAAGAAGAACCCCAAGACATTCAATTAGGGGAGAAAGACTACATGAGCATTGGGGATTGAAAGCCAGCCGCTTCAATTGTGCAGTTTTACCAAGCGGATGTTGTATGAGGTAAAACTGTCACCTCATACAACCCAATGTTGTTAAACGCCTCAGCCCACGACCCCATCGATTGTTAAAAAATACTTTGGGCAGCTATAGCACACATTAGAGGCCCTGGGAAGAAGAACATTCTGGAAATAACAAAAGTGCTTTTGGAATTGTAAAATTATTTTTGAGTATAAAAACAAAAACGATTGAAAAGGTAGAGAGAAAGTGACACAGAATAATAATGCTCAATTTTTGGCATTTGATGGACTAAAACCACCTTGCGGTTTACTGCACGGATCACTAGCACATTGTCTGGAAAAATATGTACTGTAGATGCACACTCAGTCGCCCAAAGTCCTGCAAAATGTGTTTTTGATTTTTTTCTGGTTGACGGCTTATTCCATGTGTACAGTATGTAACATTACATTAAATACTTATTAGATACAATCAAGATTTTGTGAATGAATGAATGCTACTGCAGATGTTCAAGTCAGGCAACTTAAGTTCAGTAAAGAGGTTTCAAATCATTAGATCTGCTGTAGTTCTCCTCAGAAGAACCAGATCAAGGACTCTTCCTATAAAGAGTCAGTCCCACTTTGTGTTATCGACCTTGTCCCACTGCGCCCTCTGCTGGAAATTATTTGTTTGATCATCAATGGAATTTTGTGTCAACCAATTATTTTAATAAGAGCGATCTATTTGAAACCCATTTTTTTACAATGTTGTCATTGTATGGTATTGTATGTTGTCAATTTGAAATGATTTATGGTCAATCGCCCTGTTGACTTTATTCACCATAAGAAAACATACAACAAGGCCCGACGTTTTTCCTGACGTTAATCAGTTGGCCTGCGGGCCGACACAAACACAGCGCTGATACTTAAGATGTCCCCAACCGGGCTTCCAATTTTGATCGCGTTCATTCTTTCATTAAAAGCGTCACAGTTATTCAGGCTCCACCTACTTTATAACACTTTCCAATTTTTTATGCTGTCTTTTTCATTTGTTGTCAATCAGAGGAAGAAGCAGTACCAGGCCCTCACACTCTCTCCTGGTTTATTAAGGTAAGCAGCATTATATTCATCCTCAAAATGAAACATATACACATCGGATCAGAGTCAGAAAAAATATTACACGATAGCTGAACCTGAACACTTCTTGTTTGTCTAATTGTGTTCATTGTTATCTTAGAAACACATTTTTGTTGTTGTCTCACTCACTATTTGTTATTTGGGCTTTTCAGTCACAAGAAAACAACTACTAGAAAGCTTGCGAGAGAAAAGAAAGCAGACTTGAGTATTAACTTTAAAACATTCTTATTGTGAGAGATTGTCAAATTCACAAACAGATGTTATTGGATATATTAAATAACACAGCATTAGCCGTTTACTAATAAATAGCATGTTACTGTAGTGAGATTTTAGTGTCCGATGGAATAAAAAGGTACATGAGTGGCATCCAGTCACCTTCTATAACGTGGTCTATTTTAAAGGAAAGGTGCAATGTCACCAAACCAGCTTTACCAGCACATTCCTGAGATTACAGAGAGAGATTTTTTTTGATTTTTAGAAAATCTTTATTTTACATTAAAAAAACAATTCACAGTCATCAGTCACTTTGGCGGTGGCCCGTCTTCCCGCTCAGGATCCGCCGGTCAGACGCCTCACTCAGCCCCATTTCCTCCATCCCTGGTGATCTTGAGGTTGATCTTCCGTAGTCGGAAGACCTCCCGCTGGGTGTAGTCTGCTGCACCCTTTTTCGTGCAGCAGTGTCGAACGGAGCGCGCAAACTTCTCCGGAGTCGGAGAAGTAGTCCTCCAGCTCCACTCCTCTCTGGTTCTTGGTGGCCAGCAGGAACGATTTCATCCGCCCCACCCCGTGCCTGCTGGTGACCGTCCCCCCTGAGGAGACACTGTTTTCAGAGGCCCACCCTGAAGAGGACTCTGACTCCCCACCTCCCACTTTTCCTCTGCGCCCCCCCCCCCCCCCCCCTTTTTTGCCGGGAGCCTCCCCCGGTGGGCCTAGGCTTCTCTTATTGGGGGGGGGCCCAAAAGTTCACCCCCCCCTCTTCCATATATTCCTCGCTGTCCGAGGTTCCACCTCGAAAAGCTCCCCCGCTACCAAGTGCCCCCATCCCCTCTTTCACTCTGTCACACACACCTGCCCGCTGAGCTACATTCAACCCCCCATCCACTCCGACATTCATCCCCTCTGACCCCTCATCCACCTGACCGACCGGCTGGCCCTCACCCAATCCCACAGTCACCCCCTCACCCACCTGACCGACACTCTCCTCCTCATCCACCTGACCGACCGGCTGGCTCTCTCTTGTCGGCACACTCAACCCCTCAGCGACCGGTTGGGCCTCACCCATCGCCACACCCACCCCCTCACCCGTCTCTACAGTCACCCCCTCATCCACCTGACCGACCGGCTCGGCCTCACCCCCTCCCACACTCGCCCCCACATCCAGCAGAGCGGACGAGGGGTTCCTCTCCGGGCAAACCCTCGCCAGGTGTCCCTCTCCACCGCAACGGAAACACCTCCCATCGTCCGATGTGGCGAACATGGCGTAGTCAAACCCCTCGATCCTCACCTTAATCACCAGGTCGAGGGCCTGGGGTTTGGTGAGGACCATGTGGAGTTGCCTCCAATGCGACACCACATGCCTCATTAAAGGCGACTTGCAACCCGAGGACAGCTTTTTAAGCGGGGACACCACCTTCCCGTGTTTGGCCAGCTCCTCCAGCAGCACTCCGTCAGGGACGAACGGCGGAACGTTCGCCACCGTCACCCTGACGGCCGGCACCGCGAGCGGAAAGACGGGCACGTGCGCCTCGCGGACCACCACGCCGCTCGCCACCACCTCGCGCGCCTTCCTGAAATGCTCCTGAACTCTAATTAGCAAGTGATGATGCTTTCCGAAAGCATTTTGTTCTTTCTCTTTTCGTTTTTGTTCTTTTCTCCTAGGTGGGAGTAAAAGTGGGCAGGCTGTGTCGGCTGGATTTATTCTTTATTTATAAATGTTAACAAAAAGCTGAAAAACAAAAGAAATGTTAGATAAAGCACATTTTTAATGCATTCTGTCTCTGTCAGTAATTTCAGATAATACATTTATAGATTACAAGGATCATTTTGGTTCCCATTTTTAAAATATTTTTTCCTTCTTGCAGGCTTTCTCTCAGGCTCCTTCAGCAGATATCATGGCGATGGCTCAGGGACCTTTTCTTGTAGGAACAGCACCACCGTTCGCTCCAGTCCCCAACCCAGGAGTCACTCAACCGCAGCAGCCCAGTGTAAATATCGCCGTCTCATCGCAACAAACCGTTCAACAACCCCTTAAACAACAAGTTCAACAACCTGCTTACATCCAACAGCAACCTCAATTCGTGCAGCCAGGTGAGTATTTCCAAAATGTAACTTTGCGAATGCCGAATATATAATACAAAGTGAGAAAGCTTTGCAGGTTCAAAAAGATCATTCCTCAATATTTGCGCTGCATTATTAGCTGCAATTTATTTCTTTTACTTTCTCAATAATTCCAAACAATGACTAACATACATGTGTTGAGGAATACTGAATACTATGATACAGCAAATGAAACATTTTTACTGTACAAATTTAAAGATTCTCCAAAAAGTCCCATATTTGCATGTTCTCAATATATGTAGTCTCTCCACCTCAACCGACCACCCAACCCAGTGTAAATATCGCTGTCTCATCGCAACAAACCACTCAACAAGTTCAACCACCTGCTTACCAGTACATCCAACAGCAACCTCAAGTTGTGCAGCCCGGTGAGTATTTCAAATCTATAGGACGAAGTGAGTGTTGAGTTGAGTTGCAGACCGAGCCCCTCTCTGGCTGGGAGGTAGGTTTAGGTGAGTCTCTCAGGCTGGAGGCGGAGATTTTAATGCACCAGGTGGAGAGGATCTGGCGATCAGGGGGGTTGGAGTCACTCACTCACAGGACAGTGAAGAGCGAGCAGTGTGAGAAAGCGAGATTGAAGAGCTTGGAAAGAGGAGACTGCAGGAATAAAGCTTGCAAAGGCTGAAGAAGGAGCCGGTGAGCTTTTGAGTGGCTGACTACTTATGGCATGAAATGCAAAATCAAATGTCCATATATTTAATGTGTTTTAAAAGTATTCAAGCTAAAAGTAATTGGATAAAACTTGATTTGTGTGTATTCAGCGGAGTTCAAATCTGGTGAAGGTTAAAGGTTAAAATCATCGTTAAATAGTGTTTTAAAAATGTATTTAATTTAGTATTGGGATACTTTAAATTTGGGTTGTCTTTCTACTTATTTTGAGGTTAATTTCCAGTAGATTATAAATTAAGTATGTGATGTTGGGTATGTGAATTGATTATGGTTTCTTGGGTTATATTTCTTTGACCTTACATTCATGTTTGTATTTCAAGGTTTTTCACCTGGTTTGACCTGGACAATCTTAAAAATAAAAAGCAAGAAAGCAAAGAAGTCCGAATCTTGGTCATTGAGTGGAATCCAGTCTACACTTCTTAGCAAGCTGCCCTTTCAAGTGGGGGGCTGCAGTTTGACTCTCACAAAAGTGAGACACTTGACAGTGAAAAAAACGCCACTGGTGCGAAGACTGGAGCGAAGTATCCTGAACTGCAACTGGCCAGGCCTGGAAGTCCAGAGGCCTAGTAACACTGAAGATCACCCCGCCCACACCGAATCCTGGTGAAAAGGAAGATGGCTGACTCAAAGTCACTGGAGCAGCTTAAAGCTAGTAGGACGTCTGCAAAGCGACAATTCTCCCGGCTGTCCAACAACATTGTCCGGATGCACGCCATAATGGCTGAAGAGGAGCTCAGAGACCATTTCAAAAGGCTCATAACTGAGGCCAACAAAGTCATGGAAGCAAATGACGATGTGGAGGCCCAGTACCTTGCAGAAGTGGAGCTGGACGCAGATCCTGATGAAGTTCCCGGGTTGAGCAAGCAGCAAAAGGCCGATATTGGGAAAACTGCAAGCGAGTGTGAGATGAAATTGGAAGAGCTGAAGGACCTCATTCGAAAGACACTCTGGGCTAATTTCGGGGAGGAGGAACTGATGATGGCGCTACAGGCTGCAGAGGAGAAAGTAAAGAGTGTGATTTCCTTTGAACCTGGTGGAAATAAAGAGGCCTTTGACTTCATGTTCGACTACATGGAAGGACTGGTTAAGAGGGCGAAGGAGCTGTACACACAGTGGAAGGGTTGGGCCCCTCCTGCCGAGCAGAAAGACTTCCAGCTGCGTGTACGAGAGCTCGAGCAGATCGTTCCCAAGTTAATGTCTAAAAAGGCAGAGTTCATTGAAGCAAAAGCTAAAGAAGACGCGAAAGAGTTGTGAGTGCAGCTTCTATCAGCTACCCGACATCAATATCAGCCATCAGACTGAAGCCAACCTCCCTCCCCAAGTTCACTGGCATCAGGCGAGACTTTCATCGCTGGAGAGGAGACTGGGAGGCCCTTCAGAGGCAAGGAGAACCTACTGGGTCAAAAGAAGTAAAAAAGTTCCAGCTTCTTGACAGTTTGGATGACAAGATAATGAGATCTTCGATTGATGTCCTATAACACAGCAGATGACATTCTTCGGGTCCTGGAGAACCGGTTTGGAAACCAAACGGCGATTGCCATCGAAATAGTTGAGGAGCTCCAGAGACTTCCAGCTGTCAAAAGTCACCAGCCCAAGAAAATTGTTGAGCTCATCCAAGCTGTTGAAAAAGCCCTTCAAGACCTGAGTGACCTTGGTGACACCGGTGCTTTAAAGAATCCTCTAGTGACAAAGGCAATCGAAAGCAAGCTTCCTGATGCACTGAAGAAAGAGTGGCTTCTCTATGCAGCTGAAAGGAGCAGTGCTCCTCCAGAGAAACGCTTTGTCTTCTGACCTTCCTCAAGAGTCAAGAGAACATCTATGAACAGCTGGACCAATTGAGGGACGAAGAGCTGCCAAGGAAAGAAATCCGACCTGAGCAAAGGCAAGCCAGAACCAGGGCTGCAAACCAGTCAGGTAGCCATCTCTCAGGATGTATCGTCTGTGGGGACATTAAGCATAAGAAGAAGCTGTACTTCTGCAAAAAGTTCCGTGTGCTCAAGCTCACAGAGAAGAAGGACGCAGTGCGAAATGATGATGATAATCTCTGCAAAACCTCATTTCTGTGCAGAAACCCTGAGTGCCCAGGAGGAATTATTCAGGAAGCTCTCCCCTGAATTGGCCCAACAGTGCGGGACGCATTCTGCAATACAGCAACAAGCACCTCCCACGTCGCAAAGAGTCACTCAAGTCTTCTGGCAGAGGGCGGCCTAGCGGAGTGGCCCGTCATCATGATGCTTTTGGAGGTGACAGCCAATGCTGGACAGAGAATTGGGACCCTGATCGACCTAGCTTCTGACACCAATTATATCACCCATGAGGCAGCAGGTCGGCTCAATCTCAGAAGTGAAGATATCACACTTGTGGTTCATGGGGTGGGAGGCATGAAAGTCTTTGTTTAAAACAAAGCGGTATCTCCTGAAAATCCGGGTTGGCACCTCAAGAAGCGCTCTCAAGTCCCACCAGCTGGTTTGCTACGGCTTAGACCGCATTGCAGATATCCACAGACATGTGTCAGCCAGAAAACTGCAACAGTTCTTCCCAGATGTCCCGCTCAGCGACCTGACAAGGCCAAAAGAGATCCAGCTCCTTGTAAGTCACAAGGAGGGTCAACTGGCTCCACAGAAAATCCGAACGGTGGGGGACCTCGTACTGTGGGATGGACCAATGGGGAAGACAGTTGCTGGCACCCATCCTGAGCTGTTTGAGGAGGTCACTGTATCAGCCCATACGTCGAGGACACACTTTGCCAGGTCTATGAGAACTGCTGCTGCAAAGTATGAAGAACACACCTGCGCAGTCCCCGTTCATCCTCCTCAAAGCCAGCGAGCCCCAACTTCCGCCCAACCTCAGATATCCAGCTGTGCTGCTACTACATCCAGTTTCATCGACTGGTGGAAATGGGAAAGCATTGGTGCTGGTTGTGTTCCGAGATGTGGGGGCTGTCGTTGCGGAAACTGTCAGCCAGGCGGCAAAGAAATGACCCTCGCTGAAGAAAGGGAGCTGGAGGTGGTAAAGAGCGGGCTCACATATGTAGCAGCTGATGACCACAGTGAGAGGCCTCACTGGCACACTAAGTACCCCTGGGTGGAAGATCCAGCCACATTACAAGCAACAGAAGCGCAGTCGAGGCCACATTCTTGAGGACTGAGAGGCAACTGGCCAGGGAGCCAGAATGGAAGGCCGCCTATGCCGCTCAAGTGCACGAGATGGTCGAGCGCAGGGCTGCAATGAAGTTGACCAAAGATGTACTTCGTGAATGGACTGGCCCAGTATGGTACATTAGCCACCTCATCGCACCCAACCCACACTCCGTCACAACTCCGGTAAGACTGGTCTGGAACAGCAGTCAAAAGTGCAGAGGGGTGAGCCTCAATGATCTCCTGCTGAAAGGCCCAGACGTCCTTAACTCAATCCGTGCTGTGCTTCTTAAATTCCGGAGGGGAGGGTTTGCTGCTTTAGGAGATGTAAAGAAAATGTACAATTCAGTGTGGCTGGAAGATCAAGAGTTGCATTTGCATAGGTTCCTGTGGCGTGACTCTGAGGAAGAAGAGCTGGCTGAATATGCAGTCACGAGAGTTAACATTGGAGACAAGCCAGCAGGCTGCATCGCTCAACTCGCCATGAGAGAGACTGCTAACCTCCCTCAGTTCAGCCATCTTGAGGAAGAGCGTCGAGTGCTGCAGGAAGACAGCTATGTCGATGACCTCTTGACCTCTCATAATAACTTGGACCAACTTAAAGTCATCACGGGAAATGTGGAGCAGATCCTCAAAGCAGGAGGGTTCGAGTTGAAGCCATGGGTCTTCACTGGCCAAAGTAGGAGGGAGTCGTCTGGAAACGACCAGGCGGTTACTCCAAGGACTGTAATTCTGCCGAATCAGCTCAAGAGGAGGACAACAAAGCCCTTGGCCTTGGCTACACCCTGGAAGATGACAAGCTTCATGTAATGGTTGGGATAAACTTTTCAAGAAGGAAGAGGAAAATGAGACTTGGCCAAGACCTTCGACTGGAGCAGGTGAGAGCTCAGACGCCAGACCCATTGACACGACGAGAGTTACTCAGCCAAGTTTCTGGACTATATGACCCGATTGGCCTAACAACGCCTGTGAAACAGAAAGGGGCCATTTTGGTTCGGAGAGCATTTCAAGAGGCCAAACCCAAATGTAGCACCAGCAAAGACACTTGGGATCTTGCGCTATCAGAAAAGCTCAGAGAAGATGCCATCAGCCTTTTCGAAGAATACGCCAAGCTGAGTAGGTCAAGTTCATAGAGCCCTTACGCCAGCAGGTGCACCGGCTGAACCTGATGCAATCACCTTCTCTGATGGCAGCGAGCATGCGTATGGTGCCGTCCTGTACCTACGGTGGGCCTGTAACCAAGGGTCCATGGTGAGGCTGGTGGAGTCTAAAGCTAAGTTGACCCCTTTGGACCACAAGGGGGAAGCAGTCAAGTCAGAGCTTTGTGGAGCAGTATTCGCCGCCCGGTTTAAAAAAGTACTTTGAGCAACATGGCCGGATTCAAGTCAAGCAGTGGTACCACTTTGTTGACAGTCCAAACAGTCCTTGGTGCAATTCAACGTGAGAGCTATGGCTTCAGACTTTCTTTGCCAACAGGATTGGAGAAATCCAATGGCAGCACGCAACGTCAGGATTGGTGGTGGATCCTGGAACGCTCAACATTGCTGATATTATCACTCGTGGGGCTGGTACAAAAAGATTTGGCTGAAGGTTCACCATGGCAAGCAAGGACCAGAGTTCCTGAGCTTACCAGCAAATGAGTGGCCAATTAAGTCTGCAAAGGACGTATCCGCAACTGCCAGAGAGAGTGTTGGAAAGATGCAAAAGAAAACATTTACTGCCGTACTCGCAAGAGCTCAGGTGAGAAAGGGCCACCAGACCTGGAGGGTCGGAGACCACCTGCTGGTGCTGCTGTCCGAAACCTGGTGGATGAAGGACGGTTCAGCAACCTGACTCACCTGGTTAAAGCGGTTGCCCAGGTCTGGAGAGCAGCTAAGTGCTTTGCAGCTCAAAGCAGGATCTTGGGGACTCCAAAGTGGGAGGCAGTTTCATCAGCCGGGGTCATCACTGCACAGAGCGCCAAGACGCCTTAAGAGACCTTTTTCTTGCTGCACAAGAGGGCGTGACCTTTCCAACAACCACAACGGACCGGTTGGTAGTCTTCAAAGAAGAAGGAACGGGGCTACTAGTTTGTGGTGGGAGGGTCCAGGCTTTTAATGAAGACCGAGTTAGTGTTCCCCTCTTACCTTACAGTGCCTGGGTTTCAACATTGTTGGTTCGTGAAGCTCACAGCAGGGGTCACGAGGGAACAACTGCTACTCTACTGAAAGTGAGCATGGGTCATCAAGGGACGTAGAATTGCTCAAAAAATCATTGAAAACTGTGTGATTTGCAAGAAAGCCAGAGCTAGAAGATGTCGCCAAGTGATGGGTGATCTGCCTCAAGAGAGAACCAGGCCAGCGGCTCCATTTGAATTCACGGCAGTTGACCTGTTTGGACCGTATCTGGTCAAGGATGATGTGACGAAGAGAGTCCGGATGAAGGTTTGGGGCGTCGTATTCTGCTGTATGGCCAGTAGAGCAATCCACACAGAGCTGGCCAACACCATGTCGACTGAAAGCTTTCTGATGGCTTATCAGAGGTTCACAGCAATTCCAGGACATCCTAAGAAGATTTGGTCCGACCCAGGGACCAATTTTGTTGGTGCCAAACCTGTTCTGGAGGAGTTGTATCAGTTTCTGGATGGTTTGGATAGGCCTGCTGTGGAGGAAACTTCAGCTCAAAATGGAACCAGCTGGCATTGGGAAATCCAGCCGGCTGATTCACCTCATCGAAATGGCTCTGCTGAAGCAGCTGTTCGAATTGTGAAGAAGGCGTTCCAGAGTCTGGGGAGAGAATCAGAGCTCAGTTACAGCGAACTTCAGACGACACTTCAGCTCGCTACTAATCTGTCGAATGAGCGCCCCATTGATGCCAGGGTGCAGAGCTGTGAAGACACCGTGCAGTACATCACACCCAATGCACTCCTGTTGGGGCGGGCATCATCGAGTGGTGACTGGAAACATTTGTGTTTACGAGCTACCCCTATAAGAGGCTTCAGGAAATGCCAGCACCAGGTCAACAAATTCTGGAGGTCCTGGAGCCAACTTGCCGGCCCTAATCTCTTCGTGAGGAGTAAATGGCACACTACACGGAGGAATGTTGCAGACGGAGATATTGTTTGGCTGTGCGACCAAAAATGCATTGAGGGGTGAGACCTGCAACATCAGCATCCAGGCATCTTGCCTCCAGCATCTGGAGGGACGTTCAGTCCACAATTCTTCATCGGGACGTTCGACGATTGGTGGTTCTGCTGCCAGTGGAGGAGCAGGCAGGAGGCCAAAAAGGGGATCTCTGACCACAATGTCACTGTGCGATCTTTCCAGCGGTTCTCGTGGGAAGATCGAGTGGGAGGTGTTGAGTTGAGTTGCAGACCGAGCCCCTCTCTGGCTGGGAGGTAGGTTAGGTGAGTCTCTCAGGCTGGAGGCGGAGATTTTAATGCACCAGGTGGAGAGGATCTGGCGATCAGGGGGTTGGAGTCACTCACTCACAGGACAGTGAAGAGCGAGCAGTGTGAGAAAGCGAGATTGAAGAGCTTGGAAAGAGGAGACTGCAGGAATAAAGCTTGCAAAGGCTGAAGAAGGAGCCGGTGAGCTTTTGAGTGGCTGACTACTTATGGCATGAAATGCAAAATCAAATGTCCATATATTTAATGTGTTTTAAAAAGTATTCAAGCTAAAAGTAATTGGATAAAACTTGATTTGTGTGTATTCAGCGGAGTTAAAATCTGGTGAAGGTTAAAGGTTAAAATCATCATTAAATAGTGTTTTAAAAATGTATTTAATTTAGTATTGGGATACTTTAAATTTGGGTTGTCTTTCTACTTATTTGAGGTTAATTTCCAGTAGATTATAAATTAAGTATGTGATGTTGGGTATGTGAATTGATTATGGTTTCTTGGGTTATATTTCTTTGACCTTACATTCATGTTTGTATTTCAAGGTTTTTTCACCTGGTTTGACTTGGACAATCTTAAAAATAAAAAGCAAGAAAGCAAAGAAGTCCGAATCTTGGTCATGAGTGGAATCCAGTCTACACTTCTTAGCAAGCTGCCCTTTCAAGTGGGGGGCTGCAGTTTGACTCTCACAAAAGTGAGACACTTAACAGGGAGAGAGCTTGAGTTTGGTGACGGGGTTGGGAAGTAGGTGTGGATTGCCGTTAAATAGTGGTGGATGTCTGTCTCACAGTGAACCAGGTGGTGGTGGTGCAGCCAAATCTCACCGACACTTCTAGACAAAAGATGTGTCCCAACTGCCGAAACACTGGTATGACTCAGCTCAGGTACATCAATGGAATGCTCACCTGGCTGATCTGTGGCGTGGGTGGGAATCTTCGGGTAAGTAAAGTAGCCTTACACACACACACACACACACACACACACACACACTTTGTAAAGAACCATAATGACCAAATGACAGTTTATGCAACTGAGTCTCTCAAGTATGTTGAATTGTGCTTATACTTAATTCAACTTTTCTCTGTGGGTTATTTAGCTATTTAAAAACTCACATGACAATTTAGAACCTCTATACCAGATTTCAGTTTACTTTAATTTTGAGCTGGAGGAAATGTTATAAGTATTATTTTAACATTATTCTTGATTCAGGTTCTTGCCTTGCATGTGCATTCCCTCCTGTGTGAATTCATGCAAGGATGTGGAGCATTCCTGCCCCAGCTTGTGGCCACGTCCTGTACGTTCATAGACGCACTTGAAACAACTCTGCTGAAGCAACAACAAATAAAAATCTGTTTTGTGTGTTTTGTTCTTTTTTTGTCTGGAAAAATATGTACTGGACATGAATACTGTAGAGAACAGACAAAAACACCTAAATGTGCTACAGTTCTTAAAAAAAAAAAAAAAAAAATCTCGCTTTGTTGTAATTATACACAGCTCTTTCACATCTTTCTGTTTTCCCGTAAGTCTTCACTTATTGTATATGTGTGTTTTTTGTTTTACACTCGACTTTCAGTAATAAGGGTTTAACTCATTTTATCTGCTGGAGTTCTACTCAGAAGAACCTGATCAAGGGCTCTTCCTATAAAGCACATACAGCTTTGCCTTCTGGCTCAGCTCCCTTTTCGTCACACCGGTGCGGTAAAGCAAGTGGAATACCGCCCCTGCTGCTCCGATTCTCCGTCTAAATTCACACTCCATCTTCCCCTCACTTGTGAACAAGACCCAGACGTACTTGAACTTCTTCACTTGGGGTAAGGACACATTCCCTACCCAGATGAAGCAATCTATCGGTTTCCTCCTGAGAACCCATTTCCTCAGATCTAGAGGGGCTAATCATCATCCCAACCGCTTCACACTCGGCCTGCGAAACGGTCTGGTGAGAGTTTGGAGGTTGTGATGGATCTACAAGGCGCAGGGAACTTTGAGGTGCGTAAACGCTATTTCCAAAATTCTAGAGGTGCGGTAAACGGCGTTTACGTGCGTTTACCTTCCACTACAGCCCTGCGTGTAGGTTGAGGAACACCCAATCCTTCGACTTTGAAGTCGGCTCTGTGGCGTTGGCTGTAGAACACATGACAAGAGGAGGCGTTAATATTCTGCCACCTGCAAGGGCAGTGCATCGTGTGAATGAAAAGGCTGCAACCCCTCACCCTGCTCTTGATTGCGATGGAGACGGCTGCAGGGACGCTCCCTGTGGGGACGAGATGCTGAATCACAAGCATTAAACTCGTGCTTTGAGTTGAGCTAAATAATGGCATTTTCCTTGAATTACATTACATGTCATTTAGCTGACGCTTTTATCCAAAGCGACTTACAGTAAGTGCATTCGACCATAGGGATACAAACTCAGAAGAACAAGAAACCAGTGCAATTTCCTCTAATAAGCCAATTTACAATTTGCTATAGATAAGTGACGTTACAAGTACAATTTAAGTGCTACAATTTGTTAGTCTTTTAGTCGAGGTAGAGTCTGAAGATGTGAAGGCTCTCTGTGGTCCTGGTGTCGGCTGATCTTCAAATCATGTTTTCAAGCATCGTTATTTTTCTTCTTTGCTCATTGATGGACTGTTTGTTGTGTGCAGAGATACATCGCTATCAACAGTACTGAGCACAGTTTCTAGGCCTGCTGTCTTTTTGTGGTTGGAAATAAAATGTCAATTTGGCTCGACGGGGCGGCACGGTGGCGTGGTGGTTAGCACTGTTGCCTCACAGCAAGAAGGTCCTGGGTTCGATTCGCCCATGGGCCTTTCTGTGTGGAGTCTGCATGTTCTCGCCCGTGCTGCGTGGGTTCTTCTCCGGGTTCTCCGGCTTCCTCCCACATTCCAAGACATGCTCTGGGGATCAGGTCAATTGGGGACTTTATATTGCCCGTAGATGTGTGAATGTGAGTGTGAATGGTTGTGTGTCTCTGTGTCGCCCTGCGATTGGCTGGCGACCAACCAGGATGTACCCTGTTATCGCCCGAAGTTGGCTGGGATGGAACTCCAGCCCCCCCCCCGCGACCCTGTGTGCAGGATAAGCGGTTTGACAAGGATGGAGGATGGAATTTGGCTCGACAGAAACAAGACCAACAAGCAGCAGATTCTGTTTCATACATTTATCCTTGATTTGTAAAAGTAGCCATATGTTGTTGTTATTTTGCAGCCTTTCAGAGGTACATATTGAAAACGTTATGTTGCATGTGATGCTGTGGAAACAATATATCCTACCTTGTGTCCTCCTGTGTGCCCCACTCCGGACTGAAGACGTGGAAAGAATGGCTCCCTTGGGTGCTGTTGGAAAACTGGAAGAGGCTGGAGAAGGTGGGCCTGTTGTCGGACGTGTCGGCGAAGATGGCGTCCTGAAAGTTGATGCCGTGGGGGAGGATGTTGTAGTTCTCATCCATCCTGCAGAGGAGATTGTCCAGAAGAAACTGTGAGGAGGGAGCTGAAGCGGCCGAGGGAATATTGGGTTTTGGTGACATTGTAGCAAATGAAGTATGTTTTGCAAATGTCATAGGCCGATGCACTTATGTTTAAATGAGCCTTTTTGCTTTGCAGGTAAATTGTTCCTTGCAAAACAACTCGCACCGCAATCAAAGATGCAGAAGATAAAAATCTCAAGTCTCCCCTGCTGGAAATACTCTTGGCATACCAATATTTATATTTAACCATTGCTTATAGAACTGATCAGTGCTCCAAAACAAACGGACAAATGAAAATAACTTTTATTTGCTATTCAGCGTAATGGACTTGATTGTGACCACAATTAACGTCTATAAACTGTTTAAAATAATGTTTAGAGTCAAAAGAGTGGTTGGTACTTGAATTAGGTTCTGCACTTACACCTAAGGAAGAAGAAGTAGGAGTAGTTCTCCATCACGGTGTGGGACTGGCAGGACAGGAACCCCAGTCCGGCCAGGTTGAGCCTCGATCCAGAAGCACCTCCAGCACGCTGCCCCCAGGCCTGATCGCACAGCAACTCCACCTCCGCTGTGGACAGCAGCCCTTCCTCCGCGCCCTCGTACACGAACCCGAAGAAGCGAAGTTCCTCGTTGAAACGAGTTGAATCTGCGTGTAGTCAACCACTGTTGCTGACGCACTCCCATTGGCCACAAATGATTTATTTATATTCATAAAATACCTTTTCTTCTAATGTTACGCTTGCATCACAGGACGAATTTTTTCTATCGTATTAGCGTTCTGTTGCGCCTGCTTTTACTTTGAAAATCTAACGTGCGTACTTCCGATTTAACTGCTGCGCTTCGTATTTGTTTTATGACGTTAGGTAAAGAATGCATGAATTGATTTAACACAGACCTCATACAGCTATTTAACAATTCAACGTCACGTTTGATTGCTATGTTTTGGTCTAGTTTTGTTTTTAATTAGGCGCTGGCGGTGATGCTAACGTTAGCTGACGTCTCCCAGTCCATTGGAAACACACAAAGTAAATCGTCAGCGACGAATAGCGATGTCCAGATTGCACCTTCGTTCACAGCTGAGAAAAAGTATGATCCATCTAACTTCTTTAGTTGTGACGCATTTTGTAATGACGATAATCGCTCTGACAGTATATCAGCTGTCAGTCGGTGACGCAGTCGTCGCCTAGCAACCGTTGCACGTCATCGCATTTATCCTTTGATGTGTAACATCTGGTCATAACTTGAAGCTATAATATAGGTAAGAGGAGGTCGAGAAGTGCTTAGTAAACAGGAATCGAGTAGAACATCACAGACGGAAGATGGAGGACTCAGAATACAGCGTGAAGCCATTTATTGAGTCCTTTTTCAACAGTGTGACTCCAGGACAGTTTGAACTGTTGGCGAAATGGCACCCCAGACAGCACCACCAAAGTGCTGTTGGCCGACATGATATTTAAACATGGTCACGGTCTTGACAGAGCCATGCTCAACAATCTAAGGACCAGAAACATGTCGAAGTCAGGACGTGGTGACACTGTGATGCAAGGCTTCAAAGATGTCCTGGATGTCAAAGACGAGATCAGGGATCAGAGCTCAGAACTGTTGAGTAGCATGATCACTGAAGAGGTTAGAGCCAGAGTCAATTCTAACACCTCTGAAACCTTACTGTCTGGGGACATCACTCCACCCACAAGACTCAACGAAAGGTTAATCATGCCTTACAAATGATAAAAAGGTTTACAGCAAAGCTGAAATTCACAATTCGAGGGCGAAGACAGGGAACCACTTTCAGAGACAGGCTGGTGCCTGAACTGAATGGGACAGATGACGAGATTCCAGAAACCTCACACGCAGTTGACAACCAACAAGAATGTCCCATCAGGCGGCCCAGACTGATAGGGAAGCATTCAATCTCCGGAAACAGTAATTGTGAGGGAGGTGAATAAGACCATGCTTCCTTTCTTGGACGACATGTCAGACGCTGACTTTCAGAACTTGCAGGTCGACAGCTCCTGGAAACAACTGTTCCTCGGGGAGTTCTCGA